CTGGAACTTAAATATGCATGTCGATAATCATCGTGTGAGAGGAACGACGCCATTTCGCCTCGTGTTGAGATCGATTTTCACATGTTTGTGTTTACAGGCGGCCTGCACCAATCAAAAATAGGTGTGACCGTCCAGATTGGAATCTTCGTCGGGTATGCCCGTTCATAAGCCTAGACCGATGCAGCTCTGTTAAACCAAAAACCGTTAGTAATTGCAGGTTGGGGACATTTTTCGCTTACAGGTTGTGAAGCAATGCTGTACACCGATTTCAAATGAGAGAGGCATTTTCATGTCCCCAAGGCCGTTCATGTTTCCTTCAGACCAATACGTTCCCGTTTCTAACGTGCTCGTGCATTCAGTTCCAGGCGGTGGTTGCGTGTACGCGTGTTGTAGTTACTAAAACCACTATTGTCTGTGTTTGAAATGTGGAAGCATCCTTCTTCAAATCTGTAATCTCAATGGCCATTGACGACTTAATTAAGGGCTATTACTGATTGTTTTACGTGAATACGAACTGGTAGGCGACCTGTTCCCTCTCGGAATGCTTTGTTTTTGCTAAAGCTGATCCTTTCTACCATCAGGTTGCAGAAATAGAGTTTCGGGTTCATTCTTGCAAATTGATTTCAAAAATCAGATCGTGTTATTTGTGCTTTTTTCCATTTTACAGGCCTAAAACAGTCGGTTCACTTAGGTACCTGTTATTATAGTATTCATTACGGTTACCTTAGTCGGTTGCCGCGTGCATACCATGTGATAAATACACGTTCTCTTTGTGTTCCCTCACATCGGTGCAACAGCCGCTGTGCCGTATCAGTACCTCGCGCCAAAGGACGGTTCTCCGCTCGGCGGTCTCATCCAGGACCACGTTATTGCCGCCGTGAAGTTGACCACCCGCGACAGGTTCTTCGATCAGGACGAGTACCTCGATCTCGTTTACAACGCCCTTTACGCCTCTGTGGCCGAGGACGGCTGTCTTCCCGATGTGATCCTTCTGCCTCCGGCTATACTTAAGCCAAGTCGCCTATGGACTGGAAAGCAGGTTAGGCACGTCTCGGGGGTCTGTCTGTAGCACGATAGCACTTTTCACAGTTTTCGCGAAATCGCAAAACACTCCTTTTGCCAACAACTATAGTCGCGCTAAAACACGTATTCTGCCTCTTTAGGCTATTGACGGGCTGAGTAGCTTTGCAGTAACAGCTCTTTAGGGAGTTGCATTACTCCAGTACCCTTCTACCGAGCTTTGTTGATTTTAAATTTATTTATCTTGTGTTGGCTCGATAGTTAACAACAGGAATAATATGAAACGCTTCGCGTTAACCCTTGTTCTCAAATTGCTTATTTCGGCGCCTGTATAACTTACCGAACTGGTCAATTTGAAGTCTCATAAGTGGATACAGAGCATTATACGACGTTGATTTTTTTCAATCGGGATTTAGGAGATAAGGATTGCTTGAGTTCCATTTCTTCCGTTCTCTCTAAATTACTCACAGGAGCAAAAAAATCTTGGTCAGAATATCTTTGTGTAAGAATTCAGGACGCAATTAAACAACCGAATTTTAAGCATAGTGAGCCAATGACAAATAAAGGATGCCAATTTTTCTAAAGCACATTACGACAGTCAAGTTAGTATTATTTTGGAGCCACTTCTGTTTGGTTAAAGAGAAACCAGATGTTCGATACACTGGGGTGTCGAACATCTGCTGTCCGATTTAATATTTGCTAGTTTTTGTCGCAGAAAGTTTTAGCATTTCTTGATGATGAACTAAACGATTTCTCAATGTATTTTTCTTTAAACACGCCTACCTTGCCGTCTCATGTCGAACATGACAAGAACATTGACCATGCAGCTTTGCTTGTGCCACCAAAACCTCCATTAGAACCTGATTTCAATTGCCCCAATCGCTGGCTATAAACCGTTTACCTTACTCCCCTAACCTTTTCCGCTCCAAGTGCGAAATTTGTGGAATTTGTTGTTCAGAACTGGCATAGGCGTGGCTGTTCAACGTCGCCCTCACAAATTCTGACAAAATATTTTGTTAATAAAAAAAAACGGTTATCTAAACCGACTTCCCGAATGAGATTGTTTATTTTGACTGTGCTCTGCTTTTAGCTGCTTTCAATTGCACTTGAGCAGTAATACTGTCGTGTAAATCGGAGCTACCCGGCTTTGTCTTATTACACCGTTCACTGGGGGTGAACAAACACTTATTTTTCTGCCTAGGTGGTCTCCACTCTCTTAATGAACGTCGCACCAGCCGGCCTGCCGCAGTTAAACGCCCACATCGAGGGACGCCGCACAAAAGTTGAGCTGTGGGCCGGCGTGCCGTTCTCTCGCGCCCGCATCCTCTCCGACGTGGATCTTGTCGTCGTTGGCGGGTACCTCGCCTCAGGCCTTCTCGACAAGGCGCACATCGGCTCGGCCTCGGGTGGACTTGTGCACTGCTTCTACGAGGCCTACGGCGCCTGCGCGGCCTCACAGCTCCTCTCTGGCATCTCCCGCATGGCTGACCGGTTCCTGAAAATCGCCAGCTTCACCATGTCCCTTGCCGACATTATGCTCAACGAAAAAGCAGACAAGGATAGGCGGAAACGCTTTAGGGTATGCTTTTCGGTCTGCTCAGTTTAACGTGGAAGTGCTTAATTGTTGGCCGCTCCCTAATCTGTTCAACGCCATTGAAGGTTATGTACTTTTAGGGTACTAAAGGACCTTAATTGTATGTTTATTATCACGCAACTTGATCTACACTGATAAAATTTTATTTCATTGCTGATAGTTTTGCACACTAGTCTTGATTTCGTGACTGAAATATGCTTAACTTCTGCATACTTCAATGGCGAGACATTCAAAACGTCGAGGGAGTGTGCATGAGTAGGCAAGTGAGTTCTTGTGATGTTGGGAGTCTGCAAGCGCCTACACATAAACTTTTGGAAAGTGTCATTGGATAAATTGGTGGCTGATTTTTAGGGCGTTCGGTTTCACCCTTGTTAAAAAGAAAAACGGATAATCATTTCCAAACCTCACCTAGGTCACTTGATCCATGTACGCAGTCAATTTTAAGGTCCAAGTGGAAACCAGGCATGGTCAAATTTTATGCATTGGTTTAAAAGGTGGTTTTGATCCCCTTCCCTTTTCCAGCATTTTCTAATTTTTTGTCTTCTGGACCATGCAACCTGTAAATGCGTTTACTCCGTTATGTATTTTTAGCTCCCAGGATTTCTGTTTCGTCCGGATTAAGTAATGTTTTCAGGCAGACAGACAGTAACAGAAATAGTGTGCTAATTTATCTGCTTGAAGATCTATCTTACCCAGGGTCATTAATGTCTTTTAAACATAGCTAATCTCTCTGTAAAACAAGTTTATATTAGAAGCTGAATTTGTGCTACTGATTCCCTGCTTCAAGTAATATACCAACCCATGTTTTAGTAAATAGTTTCGGTATCGTTTTTTTCATAAATCGATTTTCGCTGGACACTTTCATTGGTCGTGTGTTTGTGTTTCGGCTTAAAGAAAATGCAAGATCTTGGGCTGTGTGCCTTTGCCGACGCCTTCGGATTGACTGCGGACTCTTTGACGGAGGAGAAGGTGCAGACCCTCTACAGGCGGGCCCACTTTGCTTCGACAACCGATGAAATTTACGGCGGCAAATTGGCCGCTCTCGACCGCGCTGTCAAGGACAGGATCAAGCACTCCCAAGATGCTGTCTGCGAGTGAGTCCCTGCCCGACTTAGTGCTTAGATAATAATTGCATAAACTTAAATGCACGTTCAAGTCATAATTCGTGTCAATTAGCTGAAGCGTCGTGTGTCGCGGAGTTCCGATTCTAAGGAAAATGAGCCATTCAAAATGAAACTTTGCTCCCACAGTCAAAATTTTATTGCTAAATTGGCGAAAAACTAGACTTCTTGAATGTGAGAGCATCCAGGCACCCGGAAGACGTAGTAAACCACTCGCCGTTTCAATTACTAATGTTAAAACGCCAAAGCGCCTCCCTTTGCCGATGCTATCAGTGTCTTTGGCGACTTCACGGTCACACAACGCTGTTCGTTTACTGTTTATGAGGCTTTTTGACCACACTCGTGTCGGGTGCTAGGTCTTGGGGAATATAAGGCAACAAGATAATTTGCTACTTTTCATTCTTTCCTCATAGTAACTTTTGATAGCGTTAAATTTTTGTCACGTTTCTGGCGCTATTGAGTATCAACGTTTATTTAAATACTGTTGTGCTTGGTTTCCTCCTATCAACCTGCGACCTCAAATTTCCGCGAGCATATTTCAAAATCAAAACAGCTTATTTGATCCATTTCAGGCATAACCACTCTTAAAATAACAAATCTAATTTTAAGTAAATTTTGCACCACATGTAGGTTATTTTCCGAATAGCAGCAACTCAACGTCTGCTAAGGGGATAAGCTTGATTAGAGCGCTTACGGTTTTCGCTCCTTGCCCTTTTTGCGCAAGTACATTACTGCAAGTTTGAAGAACTCAGTGTCAACACCCAGTCTGATTGGCTAACCCCCGCCCCCAGTGTCACCCACTGCCAACGCTATCCCCACAATCATCCCCTTTTTTTCTTTAAGCTCATCGATCCCATCGGGTCTCTACACGCCGTTCCCCGCCAATTCCCTGCAGCTGATGGTGCATGTCGGCGCAAAGGGTGGCATGGTGAGTTCTGTTTCCGATGCCTCCACACAAAGCCCATCTGTTTTGGCCTTCACTTGTGCGTTTTTACGCAGTTACGTCCTGACAGATAGGCCTCATGGCCACTCTTAAATCAAGCTGACAAGTTTGATTTAACTTCTTATCCTTGTTGACTGAGGTTTCAATTTACCATATTTCTTTAACCCGTAACAACTCCACGAAAGGGTCATGAATTTCTGGCTGAACCCCGCTTTTATTGTTGTACCCGCGATCGGGTCACAGTCATCTTATGTCTTTTTAAAAAAAATTTTTTCTGTGACTTGTTTGTTGACACATCACTTCACGTATGCTGCTTAACGTAAACACGCGTGTTTGCGACGATCATTTGTGTTCATCCATTTCATCCAAATTTGTCGATTCAAAACACTTTTGAGTTGAATTTTTTGCTTCCGAATGGCATATGTCGGGGCTAAAGTTATCGCAAGGCCACAGTCGGCTGAATATTTGCAATTGGCTCGTGGCATCCAACTGTAGGTGGGCATTACCCGGCATTATCGCATTGATGATAGGCGGCACACCTGATAGTTGGTGCTGTGGTGTAAACACACGAGGGTGACCCAAACAGCGGCAGCTTACCGTCGGAAGGAGCGCTGATATCATCTTTTTTTGCACTTCTCGAGCCCACAGCACGAATAAGCCAAACCTGGGCAGAGCCTGATGCCTGCGAATGGGTAATTTTTTACTATCCGCATAATTGGCCTGGCCACAAGCGAAAAACAAGTCACCCACCCACTGTGTAAATGAAAATGAAGGTATTTGGAAGTTTTGTGGTTCAACGTTTATCTTCATTCAGTGAAGAAGTTTGGATCCGAAAGCCTCGAATTTTCTTGGATCATGTGAATGCTTTGATACACTGGGTCGCTTAGTGGCAATTACAGAATGCCAAAAAATTTCGCGATTATTTTTTTTACTTCGAAAATTGAACACACCATTGCACATCTCGGACATCTATTATCCTCGTATCTTCGGCACTTTGACTGGAATTAATCAATCACAGTTTGCCGTGGCCCCGAACGATGTTAGGGCCATTGATTTGGATCTGGCCCGATTACGCCACCGTTTACTTTAGAGCTCAACCACGTTGTGTCGTCTGTGGGGTTCGCGGGTGTGTATTTATACCTCAGATGTGTGTCATAGATGCGCAAATATCGAGACCTAGGTGTGAGGATGATCCAGGATAAACATTCGTGCGAATGAGGGGGAGTCGAGGATTCGCGCTTCTGGGGACATTCTGTGAAAAAGGGGACCCTGTGCCGGAGGCTGTAGTGATCGGATTAGCGAGTGTGAATCAACGCGGTTCACAACAGGTTCGTGGCAAATTCGGCCTATTTGTCGCTTCTGTACTTCCCGGTGTTGGAAGCGATGGTGACTTCTCCCATCTTAGAGCAGCTAGATAGCTGCCGTTTTGTGTGCCTTTTTATTCCCTACTACACTCCCTCTTCAACGTCAAAATTTCCCACAAGAAGTCCATTCGCTGCTTGTTGCCGTCAAGCAAGCGGTGCAAGGCATGTGCTTCTAACATTGACCTAGTTTGTGTTCTGTCAACACATGTGGGGAAACCCACGTTCCAAGTTTTGAATTGTTCCCATTTGGTGCTTGGAATTAGGTGTCTGGGTGAACCCTGACTTAGCTGAAATCTCTTGCGTTTACGTTGAATCTTGCGATTCCGCATCTTCAAATTTACGAGGTTGCTGTCCGTTGCACGGCTGGTCACTAGGATCTAAATTGCCACTTCCAAGACGTTTGTACCAATAATTTCGGATTTCATAAGACAACGTGGGCACCAAGAACACAAAAATTGATTGCCATGTTTTAAAGTAATTTTCCTGATTGGAATTCGAATAAAATGCAGCGTCGAATGCGTTTTTTATTAGTTGCGATCGCAAACTCTGCTATTGCGAGAGGTTATGCCATGCACGTAGACTTGCTCTTCGGTGTTTTGAAACTTTTCGCGCGATCCTTTCGATTCCAAAAAGGACCGTAAAAATAATCCGATTATCAATGATAATTTTTCAGCTCGAAGAACTGATCCGTAAAAAAAAACTAAATCACCCGATATGTTCTTGTGTTGTAGTGGTCTACCAGAACTATTTTACATTTTAAAAGCGATCTGAAAATACGGCGAAACTTCTATGCAGGAGTGTTGCCTCAAATGAGTAAACATTTGCGGTCAAGCTGCCCATTTTTTCCTACTTATCAATATCGCCTTAGTAAAAGTATTTTAGATTGATGCGTTTAAGTCTACGAAAGTCCTAACAACTGCATGGTGACGTCCTGTAGTCGGGTTATTTCATTCTCATTTTAGCCGTCAGTAAATTTGTTTTGGAAATAATAGGTAAACTTTTGCTAGCAATTCTGATCGAATTCGCGTTATCACCCAGCAGTACTGGCGTTGCATTGGTTGGCACGTTTTTTCCCCTCCTTTCCAAACAGGTGAACGCACAGCAAATGTCAGTGGCCCTGGGCCAGATAGAATTGGAGGGTCGTCGCGTGCCCCTCATGCTGAGCGGCCGGACTCTGCCCTCCTTCCCGCCCTACGACGTTCGTCCGCGTGCCGGTGGCATGTGCACGCACCGTTTCCTCACCTCGATGCCCCCACAGGAGCTCTTCTTTCATTCGATGGCAGGTCGAGACGGTCTCATCGACACGGCCTGCAAGACCTCTCGCTCAGGCTACCTCCAGCGCTCGCTCATCAAACATCTTGAGGTGAGCTGAGACGTAGTCTTTTCGAACCGCCCCTCACTTTCATCCCTTTAAAATGTCGACATTGCCTCGCTAACCCATAATAAAAGAATCAGTCGCCTTGACCAAATCACTATGCCCCACATTTTGAAGGTTTGGGCTGCACGTTATTGGACCTCAGTGCTCACTTGGTATAACGTGAAGTAATGAAATAATCTCATCCACGTAGGTCCCCCAAAATGTGTGGGCCTCCAAACTGATTTTACCCACCTACCAGGCCCCAAATCATGCATGCCTTTCCTGCATTGGCTGCTGATTGAATTAAAGGCTTCATGTGCAATCCCCGAAAGACCTGTGTGAAATTTAAGAAACGCATCATTACGGTTAAACCATCCCCTGTACTTGCACGGGTTTTAGTGTATTTTGGGACACACTTTTATGCGCCCACCCATTAACCACACGGGATTGCAAATTTTCTAGGCGTTTCACATCGTCTCCTACATAGACCTGAAGGGGTTGGCTTAGTTGTGGTTGAGGCTGTCTTCTAATTGAGCTTAGACTGCTATACAAACACAATTCTGGCTTATCCATATTTCAGCGTTGTCAGTTGACCAATCTGTTATCATTAGGAAACATGCTCTCCCCGCCCCGTCATTTCTAAATCAACACTAGATCTAGCAGGATACAGTAGGCATCTTTGTATGGCTTTTTGTGCGTAGGCTATCACAACACAAATTGACAGCCTCCTCATGCAAATTAGATGGGATTCAGGTTTTTAGTCTGTTAAAATAGCCAGTAGCCCTTCTGTGCCTTGACGGGCGAAAATTTCTTGTGCAACAGGTTTTAGTTAAAATCCTGTTCGGTTGCGTTTACAGCTACAACTTCCATTTACTATTCGCCTTTGTGAAGCATTACACAGTCTGAAAACACGCCTGCTACTTTCCAGAATTGCATGAATGCCTCTTTTCTCTCTACTATTGAAGTCTGGCTTTAGCAGTGCTTTTAAAGTGTGCTACTCTTGCGCTTCGTTTGAAGGACCTCTCTGTGCAGTACGACGGAACCGTGCGTGATTCGGGCGGCGGGGTAATCCAGTTCCGCTACGGTGACGACGGCCTTGACGTCTGCCAGTCGGCGTTCTTGAAGCCTGCTGGAATAAATTTTTTCGCGGAAAACGCGGAGCTCCTGACGGAGCGTTGGCGTTGCCCCAACGACCCTGAGGTCTACCAAAAGATGGCCGAGAACAATCCCCTTTCTCCCGACCTCGCACAGAAGGTGGACGAGGTGGCCGTTAACCGACTCAATGTGAGCCCTACGTTTTTCTTCCTTCGCACCAACTTGTCACGAAAGTTTACTCTTGACAAGTTGCTCAAGGGTGTGTTGTCAACTCGTCTTGAGAGGTTTTCGCTTGAATGATTTGAGTGTGTGTAAAAATGCCTTCCTACTCCTTTGCGCATTAGTGGATTTTGACTTCGCCGTGCATTTTGACTACTTTCGGCAAACCTGAACTTGCTCGGTTTTTTTGCAGTAGTGTTTCATGTACAAACCCACACCGAATGCCTGCCTCACATGCAAACGAACCTATGAAGAAGTCGAGTTAGACACAGCTTTCTCTTATCTTCTTATCATTTTTTATCTTCCCTGCTTTGTGCCGTAGCCAATTTAGCTTTTTCCCCAAGCTCGTGGTTACGTGCGTTGTTTACATACGCTGTGCTTTGGGTAGGACTGCCATCCGAAAAACTCTGTTAACTCATTTTGCTAAAACTATTCACACATCAATTCAATCATTCTGCCTTCTGGAATTTGGGTCGTTTAGGTATTTAAAAAAAGCATCTGGGATAAGTTTATTATTGTAAAAAAAACATTCGAAGCCTTGAAATGTTGTAAACAAACACCCAATCGTGTGACATGCCTCTTCGAAGGTAGGGGAATCTGTTAAGCACACAGATGGCGGAGTTGTTGTGTGTGTGGGGTGAGGCAGATGATTCAGTGAGATAGTCTCCTCGTCAGTCGTATTTCTCTTGCTTACACTTTCGATGTGTGTGTGTGTCAAAAAGTAGGCACCCTTTTTTGCTTTCCCTTCAATGTAGGTACTGCAAATGTCACTCAGCACGAAGAAACTTGCCCACCTACAGAAACGTCGTGAACGCGCTCAACGGAAGCTCACCGAGGCCGATTACAAAACCGGCCTACCCGACCCACCATGCACCCTAGCTGGAGATCTACGAACAATAGTCACCGCTAAAGTTATACAAGGCCAGGTATGCGCCCCTAACAGAACGATGCTATGTGCTAGTTTTAAATAAGTTTAGCTCGTGTGTTACTTAAATCACCTCGTGGAACAAATTTATCTGACCGATTGTTGAACATTTAAGGTTCCACCGGGGGAGCCCGTGGGTCTTCTCGCGGCCCAATCCATCGGCGAACCCTCCACCCAGATGACACTGAACACCTTCCACTTTGCGGGTCGCGGTGAAATGAATGTCACCCTCGGCATTCCGCGACTGCGCGAGGTGCTGATGGCGGGTTCGTCCGTCATCGCCACGCCCTGCATGGAGGTGCCGATTCTTCCCAACCCAGTGGCCAAAGCCAAGGCTGAGCACATCGCCCGTGGGATGTACAAGTTGCGCCTCACTGAGGTCAGTCACGGGGAAATTTTGTATTACTAATCTGTCCCTTTTTTGCGCATTCAACGAATCGTTTTTTACTGTCATATAATTAACTTCGGAGTTGCAGTTAATTACACGCGTTGGCGTGAAACATGCAGAAGAGAAGTACTAAACCCTTTTCCCCTTGTGTGTCCTAACATCTCGCGTTTAATCTAGTATACACGCCCACGCGGGCGTACGTGATCATTGCCTGTCTTAAAATTCTGCAACGAAGACAATGCGAGTCATGGTACCCACAATTGGATGATTTTCAAAACAAATTTGAGGGACATGAAGAAGAAGAAGAAAAGGCGCTTAAGAATTTGTAGGGTTTTTTCTTCGCCATTAACGTTCCTTTGTTTGGTTTCAAGGTCATCAAACTGCCCCTGGGTGTGGAGGTCGACTACTCGTCGGACTCCTGCTCGCTCACCTTCAACCTGCTGCCCCTCTCGGCGTACGAGGCGCGCACCAACGTTCGCCCCCAGCGCATCATTCGCTTCTTCGAGCGCGTCCTCTTTGTGGACTTGAGCAAACGCCTGGCGCAGGAGCTCAAGGACCAGGGAAAGTCGAAGTAAGCTACTTCGGCTTAGAAACATGCTTTGTTAATGCCCACAGCAGTGATCCTCGTCTTTCGTTATCGTCGTCAAGTGAAGTACGGCGTGATGCCGACGTCTTCGAGCACACTCGTACCCTTTTCACTTTTCGTTCTGCTGTTATATTGTCCCAACCATTTCGCGAAACGCTGACTTAGGCTTCTGCAGTTAGTTCCGTTTTTCAAGTCATGAATCGACTTCGGGTACGGTGCGTGCCCACATGTGTTGGCGCATTTTTTGTCGTCTTTTCAGTCAGACGTGTTTTTTTTAACAGACTGTCTGCTTTCATTCCCACGCGCTTGCTATTATGTTGAAAAAAAAGTGTTTGGCGAAGACTTAGCGATGTGGGAGTTTTTCACTAATCATCACTAGAGCACGTCTGGAACACTTACAGTCCCTCTTTTTTGAATAGGTGACTTTTGTGCTCAAACACTTAGATAGCTATGGGCACATTTTCAAACTACGAAGGCCTTGTATGTATGGCATTCCCACGACTGCCTGTTATCCGTACTTCCCAAATTACCCGTCTTGTTGAGCTTTATATAATCCACGTCTGAAATCGATTTAATATCCCGTGGAGAGCTTTCGATCATCATGACTTAGTATCAAAACTTGATGACCACGTACGAGGTGCTGTAGAATTTTGTCTAGGTACAAATCTAAGGCCTCACGAGGTGTTAGTGGTTAAACGGAGACGGTATTTTAATACCGTATTTCGTATGTCTTTTCTACGTCAACTGGTGCTATTAATTAAGCCTGAGAATGACCATGTTTTCAAGCGGGTCATTTGGTTTGCATCTGAGCAGCGCTTAATTAACTTTCTCCGCATTTTACACCTTCCGTCTTCATTAAAATCTGTTTATTGCCCAACACCATCATTAGCGCTGGACCAACGAATCTTTTTAACACTGAAATGTCAACCTCTTCAAGAATTAGTTTTCGCTAACTTGCCATACACATACGCAAAACAAGGTTTCATCATTAAGTCTAATAAAATGCATTATCGGTCACTTGGCATTTGCACTTAAAGCGTAATTAAATGAAAAGGAGGGGAAATACATTTCTACTTAGCCTAGTGTACACAAATTGTCGAATTTGACGTCAGCCCACATTTCAGGCGTTTTGTTCGGTATAAACTGTCAAAATTGTTGCCGGATTCTACCCTCTCTTGATCCGTTGGCATTTTCGCACCTAATTTCTTTCTCCGCCTCGTCGACTCCTTCAAAACAATAGTGGCTATAGAATATCTCACTCCTGAAGGAAGCTAATTTTCGTTCTTCTATTCCTCCTCTCGCGTAACTAATTAGGAAATTAGGTGTTTTGTGTTCACGTGGTCAGGGGAATTGCGATAACTCCAACTCCTCAGTCGTCTGCGTGGCTTATGTCTCAGTGTTCAGTAAAGCCAAATTGACCAACATCTTACTTTTCATCAACATCTAATCAAAGTATGCTTTATCCATCTACGCCTATTCAAATCAAGTGTGTGAATCCATAGTGGGTAGTTTTGATTCACGTCCACTAACCCGGTCGTCACATTCTCCGCCACATGGACTCCCTTTTCACAGCGTCCCTATTGATCTCGCGAAAGCACCTGCTCCTACACCACTGCGCGTGTACCTCTCCCACTCTACTCAGTTCACTCATCTGACCTCCACGCTTTGTGAGGTCCACCCACTCCGTATTGATCAGCAACCGCACTATTCAGTTGCGACGTTTTTATGCGCAAGCGGCGCGACTAACACAACCAGGTCGAGCTACCTAGCAAACGGTTGTTTCCACCATCCCCCGTCTTATTGATCAGTGTGGGGTAACCAGGCCAATGTCACCGCAACGGTCTCTGTGTGACCCCGACGTGATCTGTCTTAGAAAAACGTTTAATTTTGACAGCTTGTACACCTCCCGAGACTTGTTGAAACGAGGGAACCATCATTGTTCAAACCCTTCTTCGAGTCGGTTTTACGACAGTTTTTACTCATTCATATAGCAACGCCCTTTTGTAGACCGTGCTGTTTTCATTTGTGGTTGCATTAACTGTTTCTCGTGTCATGCTCTTCTAGCGCGATCGCGAGTTTCAATCTCAGGGCGCTGGCACGCCAGCAGCAGGCAGAGTGGCAGGACGATGGGGACGAGGCGGGCGGCCGACCTGGCGTTGGACACGACGAGTGGGGTGAAAATGACGGCGCTGAGGTGAGCCAACTTCCCATTCGTCTTGTCATTTCACAGACACCAAGTATCACCTGTAGTGATTCCGTGTATCCTTCGAATCCCCTTTGTTTATTTCTGTTGGTGGATCTTACAAATGCAAGGTTTAAACCCGAGAAGTTTGTTTTAACCTTCGGGACTTCCTTGTTAATCAGATCGATTTCTGTAAAATCCCAGTGAAACGCACTAAGCACTAGACCTGACACCTTTATTGCTTACCCATCGTAATTTTGACCTTTGTCTGCTCGCAGGCTGTCCGTCGACGTCGTCTTGAGGCCGAGGATGAGGCGGATCCCGAGGTCGGAGCTAGAAGTGGCCGAAACAACGCCAACGGCGAAGTCATCGATGAGGACGATGACGAGGTCGCGGAGCTCCGTGAGATCGGTGTTGACCCCGAGGCTGCTGCCGCTGCCGAGGACCAGGAAGCCGTCGGCGGGGATGACGATGCGGCGGAAACTTGGCAGGATGTGGGGTCCTCTGCTTCTGCAAATCTGCTTAACAAGAAGGCAAATTTGCCAACTCCATCAAAAGTTAAGGAGGTCACCGAAGCAAGCGGTGCTGAGGCCATAGAATTAGAGCGTGGGGAAGACGATGAGGAGCAGGGCGAGGAGTTGGTTTTTGACAATGATGCTGATGATGGGGCCCAAGGGTCAGTGAAGGGCCTGGACCAAAGTCGAATCAGTGTGAGTTCTCTTTATATCTGAACATCCTACTCATTTACTCGTCTGTTGTCAGGAGTTTTTCTCGAATGTGTCCTTGTTTTACACCAGATGCTATTAAATAACCTTACGTTAAATGACAATTTTCCTGGTATAATGCTTTCTAATAGCGTAAACACGTGCATCCACCAACGCGGAATTAGTAGTACGTCTCCCTCTATGCCCCCATTTGAGGCTTAGAAGTTTGTCATAATGACACGAAATAACACAATCACTCGATCTTCTTCCGTAGTTCTTACTGTCCTATCCGATCTTGTTTCTTGTAGTTTGTGAAGAGTTTGCACCATCGTTTTACTGACTACTCCTACGACACTCAACAGCCACCTTCATGGGTGAAGCTGACCATATCTGTAAGTCTAGGTTGATTTGACCTTTCCGTCCGTACAAATTTCTTGCACTTTTGTATCTCTATTCGTCTTTTCTGAATACTAATCGACATTTAAGCTCTCCATAGCTTTATACGACGTGGTGCCTCTCTTCGGATCTAGCGCTTTCAAAACTTGGTGTAAGAATGTGCCAGTCACACTCTCTAGTAAAAGCCATAATCACACCAGTATTTATTCCGCCTTGTGTGCAACCGTTAGACAATTGTAAATGGAAGCTTATTGTGATGTGCTTAGCCCCACTTCGACCTCCTATATTCGGCTGTTCAAATCCCCCCTCTCATTTTCCCCTCACTGCACAGTCTAATTCCAGGTCGATGTTGCCCTCTGGTAGAGTATTTCAGTAACTACCCTGCCACTTGCGGCAGGCGTCACGAGCGTCCCACTGGCTTCTTAACGCCACTCTTGTTATAACTTTTTCCTCGCAGATGTTCGACCCCAAGGATGGCCGTATATCCATAGACTTGCGCACTCTGGTGCAGCGCATCGTCGGCAGGAGTGTGGTCTCCTCCGTCCCAAACATCCGACAGGCCTTTATCGATAAAACTGACCCCTTGAAGTGGATTCTTCGCGTTGAGGGCGTCAACGTTCCGGTAAACTTGACTATCAGACCTATTTCAACAGTCTTTAAGCATTGGTATGACAGCCTTAGTCGTTATCGCTCATATCTGATTGTTTGGAAAAATGTGTGCACATCCAGCCTTTTCTGTTACCTCTAACTGTGGGTCTTGAATTACCTCTGACCTTTTTATCCCCGTGCTGGTTAAATTTGGCATTGTTCTTTTGTGATTTTCTGTTTTTTTTCAGCCTTGTGTGCTATCAGTATCATTGAAGTTTGGTCAACCAAAACACTTTACTCTTGCGGTTGCGCCATATTAATCGTGCAAGAAATCTGATGGCAGTAGTCTTCGCCTAGGGTAAACGTGGCCACTCTCTCTGCATATTTTTGTGACTACTTTTTTAGCTAACGATAACACAGAAGTCTGAAACCCGTTTTGCGTTGAGGACTGCTAAACCTGCTAGGTGCATTTTAAAATAACAGTGAACTCAGAGTGAATTTCGGCACTTATCGCATGCACACTTATCGTTGGTGAATCATTTCAAATTATTGAGGGGATCTAGCTTTATGTGTTTGGACGTTTTGGAAATATCTCAACTTTTACTGTCTGTGTAGGAGCTCTATCGTTACGGTGATGTGTTTGACCTCACCCAACTCTACACAAACCACGTGCACGTCATGCAGGAGCACTTCGGGGTGGAGGCGGCCCGAGCCTCCCTCCAGCGCGAAATCTCCGGCGTGTTCGACCACTACGGCATTTACGTAAACCCTCGCCATCTGGGCCTCGTTGCAGACTACCTCACCAAGACGGGCCTCTACCGGTCATTCAACCGTCGCACCATGGACTTCCATCCCTCGCCAATGCAACGCATGACGTTCGAGACAGCCACGAGTGTGCTGAAATCCGTTATCCAGGAGGGTCAGTTTGCAATAAATCATCTTAAATCACGTGGTGCCGGCTGTTAAGAAAGCAATCAGCAGTTATCTCACTTCTTCAAGCCCCAGTAATGACTTCTAGCGGTCACCACATTACTGCGAGTAAAATCCTGTCCGCCTTGTTATCTCATGTTGCTGGTCATGTCGCCGGGCGAGTTGATCGCCCTAGCATGAACCACTTGCCTTATTCGGTCAGCGTAGTGTACAGTTCCGTGGTGTCTTGCCGGTTTTCACGTGCTACGCTAACAACCTATGTAGCAATACGAGTTTGGCATTAAGTGGATTCGGATCCCACACGTCTTTGTCGAGTGGTTGAAGGGATGTTAAGACCGACTCAATTAATATTCGCAAAATCGTGCCCAAATAGACATTTCAGGACAGTTGTATGTGCATCAAAAAAGCAATGCAACACTTGATCACGGCTCATTCGAAATCTCATGCGAGATTTCGTGGAATAGCCACCAATATCAAATGCGTAGTGAATATTGCGGACCTAGCTTTCAGGAGGGATAACTATTATAGTAGAAGGTGTGTATAAAGGTAACGGCAAAATATACTTTTCTCTGTCTACCTGCTTGTGCTACGATAGCTTTAAGACTTTTGAAATTCAGTTGTATACAAATTGCGTAAATTGGTCTTTTAGCAAATCGGACGTGCCGTAGCTAAATCCCTGCTAGCCACTAATTCGATTTACTCACTAAAATCAAGGAACGGGTATTTACCGTCCACATGTTTTGTATACTGATGAGGAAATTACCTTCAATTCGTTTTATTTGTGCGCTTGATTATCAGTCGTGTAGAAACTTCATTCCATTGTGCTCGAATTTCCGGCATCAGGGACACTCGTACTCTCGTCGCAAATTTACCTGCATTGTTTCAAACGTCGTGCTTTGTGTCCGGGTAATGGAAAGTTTACGTGCTGAGGCCCGTTGGCCAGACATGCTTGTGTACCAAACGACAAAGCTAACCACCATGTTTTACTGATTTTGGCTGAAATACGAGTAATTTGACGACACCCTGCTCTGGCTACTGTCCGTACAAGAATTGCGCTCTATAACATTGTCATTCAATTCAGTAATCTTTATTTATTTTTTTCGTTTTCAGACTTAGTTGAAAGCACGGTCTCACCATCGGGCAGTATCGTTCCTGGTCAACTAACCCATGGCTATGGGACCACGTGTTTTGACCTTTTGACCCAACTCACCATTTAATCCGCCTGTAGATTTCACGCCTCAATCTCCGCCTTCTATATCGACATGCTTTTGTAAAAATAAATACTGATTTTGGTGTGCTGATTATCACTTTCTCTGTAACCATGATACTAGGCGACTTTCGGGGTTTTTGGTGGTGCATTTTCGCACTTTTACTACTACAATTTTTGTCTCTGAAGAGCACTGATTACACAGAATTTAATTGTTTTGGGAATTTGTAACCCAAATAGTGAAATTTAAAGTGGAGTCCGTGTGTGTTGGTAAGCCAGGAGGCGAGATTGCATCAAAAGAATTTGACAGAAACTGTGGCTGTCTGAGGAGGGAGGCGGCGACACGAATTTGACGCCCACAGACATCATCTGTAGCGTTCGTTCTTGTGGTGTTGCTGGCGCTGCTTTTTTCCATGTGCCGTTTTCTCAAAAGCAGAAAGTGCCCGGATCAAACAAGCGATTATCAGTTTAAACAATAAAGTTCAATCGAATTTAGGATTGGCTGATGCTTCGTGGAACCTGCGTGTTACGTTTGGTGTCTCTCACAATACTTAAGTCTGATAATTTCTCCGAAGACGTGCGTTGAATGAGATCCCTCATATTTGAAAAATAAATTCGGGGTTGGCATGTAAACGGACAGCATAAATTGTTATGTAGTTATCTGAGTGCGGTTAGTGAAGGCAGTGGCAATTTGACGATTAAGGCACTAGGAGCTACACGATTGATAGTTTCCGTAGACTACGGAAATCACTGTGAAATTCAACATTGTTGAAAACATTACTTGGTATTTTACACCTTCAAGGTCATTGTATTCAGGCTTTCTAATAAAAAACAATGAGGGTCATGTGGTTTGTGCTAATTTTAATTCGTTGGGTTAGATTACACTCAAGCAAATGAAAACCAGAGCTGAGGGGGTCGGTGAATTTCCCTGACTTGTTTAAAATCCGGCACAAGTAATGGGGAAGAAAAAGCCGTAATAGAATTTGTCAAATTAATTTTTCATTGGACCTAGATTTAGGAACGTGTGCCAAAATATTCTGATAGGTTAATTTGAAAGGTAATTTTACCATATTATTTTTAACACCTTTTAAGCATTATCAAATCTGCCTTAGACGCTAATTTCTTCGAGTAATAAACTCGGTATTCATAGGAAAAAGCACTTCATTTTTTACTTATTTAAAAACTGGTCTTTTTTAACAAAAGGCGACTTACTAGATGTGCGGGGTCCCATTGTAAGTAATTTTTGTGCTTGTCAGTGTCACGCAGTTAAATGTTGCACCTTCCTTAAATTCTAACGAATCGGTAGCTGATAAGGCGTAAAGAAGAGGCTGATTTTCGGCCCCGATTATTTCTACTCCATATTCTCGAAGCCCACTCAAGAATGTCCAAGTACCTTTACAAACTGGTTCTGAGCATTCAGGAAGAAGGGGCAATCCGTGTCACAGGAGCACTAAAAATAAGATAGCATCAACCACCAAAAGACTTTTTTTCCAAATAAACACGACCATTTTCAGGGAAGCACTCACAACGCGTAGGAGGCTGTGTTTAGAACCGCAAAAACAAGCCATTAGCAAAAGGATATTTTTGTCTAGGAAACAAGTTGAAGAGTTGGTATACTTGAACTGTAAAAGTTTGACGATTTAGGACTGTCATCATAGATTAACACATTTTTATTGGCGGCCTCAGTGGGGCAAGGTTCCTTGAAATGAATTAATGCGCGTTTAAACCACTGATAATTTTACGTCGGCAAACTGCCTGTGAAATTTAATATAATGAATCTCTGCAAGCAACAACAACTAAGCAGTAAAAAGACATGAAATGACCTGGATTTCATTGAATACCTGGAAACCACACCAGGGCAGACAATCTACATTGACATGGCCTGACCGAAAGAAGAAGGGAGTAGCAGGTGGAGCGTAGATCAACCAATTTATTGATGCAGTAGTGGCTTGTCGCTTGTGGAAGAACCTCCCACATGAGTTAAGATGGATCGTCCGAGTCGCGCGTGCAGAGTGAGGTCGAGAGTCGCCATGCGGCAGCAGCATGACTTGCCTTCTCCCTTGCACAGTAAATGACCTCTTCTGGTCGCGTTATTCGGTCACATTGTTCAATTTTCGGTAGTTGGATGGGTCCAGGTCTGGTGAATATGTCGCGTGTGGAAGAACTTCTCATCCCAAGTTCAACGTGAAGTTGAGAGTTGTCATGCAGCAGCAGCAACAACAGTGTGGCATGCCTGCTTCCTTGCCCAGTAAACGATTTTTTCTGATCACGTTCTTCACTCTGTAGATTAAAATTTCGGCTGTAGCATTCCTCAGTCACCGTCTGACATCCAGCTTCCAGGAGTTCGTAAAACAGTACACCCTTAATGTCCCACCAGATACACAAATACCAGACACCTCCTTCAAGTGGATGTCCTGTTTCAGCGTCGATTTACTGATTTGCCAGGCATCTACGCTCGAATTTTGCGTTTTTGATCCTCGTAGAAGCATGATTTGCATTGCACGTCACAATTTCCCACTAGAAGTCCATTCACTGTTTGTTGCCGACAAGCAAGCGGTGCAAGGCATGTGTTTCTAACATTGACCGAAGTTGTGTTCTGTCAGCACATGTGAAGAGACCTAATTTCCAAGTTGTTGAATTTTTTCAATTTGGTGCCTGGTGCTTGGAAATAGGTAATTGGGCGACCCCTGACTTAACTGCAACCTCTTTTGCGTTTACGTTGAGTCTTCATCCAGTAAATTTTGCAATTCCGCATCCTCAAATTTACGAGGCTGCTGTCCGGTGAGCGGCTGATCTCTAAGATTTAAATTGCCCTTTCCAAGACGTTTGTACCAATAATTTCAGATTTCATAAGACAACGTGGGCACCAAGAATGCGAAAATTGATTGCCATGCCTTAAACTAATTTTTCCTAATTGGAATTCGAATAAAATGCAATGTCGAATGCGTTGTTTATCAGTTGACATCGCAAATTCTACTATTGTGAGAGATTATGCCATGCACGTAGACTTGCCGTTTGGTGTTCTGAAACCTTGCGTGCAATCCTTTCAAAACCGAAAAAGACCACAAGAACATTTCTATTCTGAATATAATTTTAAGCCCGTAAAAAAATCTGAACAAATTGCATCATTCACCTGATAAATTACTAAACGTTTCATTCTGATAACTTTTTCCTCATTTTTTGCAGCACAAGTGATGTGGCAGACATGGATTCACAGTACTTATGACACTGTCTTGTATTCTGCGATTAGTAAAAGGTATGCAGTCATCATATTTCTTCTAATAACTGATCATCGAAGAGTACGCGAAAACCTGTTGCACATGAACTACGAAAAATGCAATGTCGGACATTAACTTGGGACAAGACGAAGAGAAAACAGAAGGTGCTTGCATGATTACTCAGGATAAATGCCTACATCCCTTCTCTGAAAATGACCTACATTTCCGTTTAGTCTCAAAGCTTAAAATAAATGAATGCTGTGGCTCAGATTTCGCATCTGTGGGTCACCACGTTCTGCTTCAGTCTCAGCGACTAACTGTTGCCGGGGTATATCATTCAACAAACGTTTGCCCACCAGCAACTAGATTTTGAGTTTTATGGGTTTACTTTAATCCAAACTGTTCCTCCACGTCCGATTACCTGAAACCTCAGTTTCTGCAGTTGACAAGGCAATAACAAGACACATCTCCATGTTCTTTTGGCTTTTCACCAAATAAACTAGAAATTGGGGCAAAGGGTGTCTATTATCTCATAGATTTGCCTCTGAAATTTGGATAAATTCACCTAATGCAGTGTGAGACTGAACAAGACGAACCCGCGTCTGCTTATAGAGCTGATATCTCCCAAATACCCAAGTTACTCAAGTAATATAAGTAAGTCGACTTGACTACATTTTAGTAATTATTCCCTTGATAAGCAGTGTTTGAGTGGGGACAAGGCGTTAACACTTGCTTTCACCTGCCCAATCATGCTATTACACCTGGCGTAAGGGCAGGGATAAGACAAAGTTCAGACAACAACGTGCCAATTCACGGGGCTATGAATCCCGAGTCATGCACATCAACACTCAATATTTCCTAAATCTCTTTCAAAGGGCAGTTTATCAGCAGTACGGGATAATAATGACAAGGCAAGCTCTATAATTACACAAGTCAGGGTAGAAGGTGGCTAATCACAACATCGATTAGGTACTGAGTGCAAACTCTGTCACACAGTCTTACAGTTGATTTGTCTGTAATTGGAAGTATGGATTTATGAACAGGAAAACATTCACGCTGGTAGTGAGTCAGGCGATGCAACCGACAGTGTACGAGGGGTCAACACAACAAGTTATTGCAAGCAATTATCACAATACCAACTTCTGGTAAAGGCGGAGAGCTGGTTAGATTTGCTGAGACCAAGGCTAATGTTTACGTCGGAGAGAGGTTTGGTTCATAAAAAAATGCAGAGGGAAATTGCAGGTAAAATTTTCTGCAATAATAATAGTTGTTGTCTTTGGTGGTGTAACGACATGATATATGATACAAGTGTGAATGATGAATATCGAAAAAAATAATAGCATTTATGCTCCTGTTGTGCCACCACGGTTAACGTCGATCTTCTACAGAACAACAAAACAATGATTTAACTTCTGACGTTTCTATTTTATCTTAAATAGATTGAGCACTCATTTCGAAGTGATTCTTGATCAAGAGAAAGAAAAATGCAAACGTTTGAGTTATCTAGTGGTAAGATAACGGTGGACGGTAATTCGGCCAAAAAAACAGGAGCAACTTGGAGGATGTCCTCTAACAACCAATGACCTGTTATGAAATGAATTACAGAGCCCAACACTGCTAAAGTAAAATAAATTATTCAGCCATGCTTTTCATGAGTGTTTGACCGGGTGTAAGGGTGACAAATTAACGGATTTTACAAAGCGAGTCTAATTTAATAGGACGAACTCTGTGTACCACAAATTCCTCCATTGAATGTGATCTTCTAAGTGTGTTCAATTTATTTTCCAAGTTGAATTTCAACTCTAAACGAACGCACCCCAACAAGGCGGATTGCTGCACACACGTTTAAGGGACAAATTTCCGTCCTTGATTTAATAAGAAATGTGGGCCTTTAAAATATTTTATCAGCTGTTCAATATTGCATTTTGAATTTCAAGTAAAATTTGGTACTGGTTTGTTTGAAAATTGCAGACGTTTGCAAACTACTTACGCGATAACTTGTCAAAGAGTGGGAACTTTGATGAAACTTTTGTTAACTCTACAATAATGCAAAAAATGCTATAGTTCGGTAAATTAATACGCCTCATATAGCACTACAAATCAATTTACATTCGGTTTGTACTTAAACAGATTTGCATTTTGCATAACGACGGATTTTTGACTTGAGGAATTCAACCATTTCATGAAACAAGGTGAAAAACCCCCCATTAAGATTGTGCTTGAATCCACAATGTCCACATTGGAGACATTATAGTTATACAATTTCCGCAACCTCGTCGTGGCTGAATGCATAAATATTATTTCCATTCTGGCGAATCACAGGTGTGCACGCATTGTTTAAACGTGCTGGCACCTGATTGGATCAGCTCGTACACGTGTGCGTAGTCTCGTGCTACGTGCGTATTCGCTCACAACTTCGCCAAAATGCAGGAATGCCGAACACATAAGTAGGTTGTGTAACATGCGTGGCACCTCAAAACGAACGAAGCAGCTACGAGGTCGCAGTTTTGTGCTGTTTATTTTGAATGACACCAAAGAAGAGATGTAATAATTTTCATGCAAACTTCTCATTTGGGAACATCACTTCCAAAATGTCGCTTGGCAACGAGTGCGTTTGCTTGCACAATACACCAAAGTCAGACCAATACGGCATTTAATCCACATCAGCAGCCATATTTGCGTTAGCCTTTTGGGATTTTCTCGAAAGGTTAATTTGCAACCAAACCCAACACCAACGAGTACTTCTGTATCTTAAGAGTTCTGTCCACGCGCACTGCAATTCCACATGTTTTGATACGCCATTTACACTCGTTTACCACCTATTTTAAATTTAAAAAATCTTAAAACTGTAAATGTGAACTTACGACACCATTAAATTGCACGAGCCAGCTAGTACCACAACTTTTAAAGGGTGTTAAAGTTATTAAAAGTAAAGTGGAGAAGTGAATTTTCAATAAAACTAGAGGGCCCTTTTGTGTTAATTTATGTTCAAGCGTTTACTGGAGTAATAAAACCACAACTAAGGGCAAAAATGAGAGTAAAACGTGGCCCAACGGAGCAAAAACTTCTTGAGACTAAATCGAAAACTTGAGGCGCGTGCAGTGCCTGTTTATTGATTACTAGAGTTCGAAAAACCAGTATAAATAAATTTGGAGCTGCAGACATTTTTTTGAGTTGGTTAAAATATGAGTAAAATTTAGACGGATAAGTCAATCATTACAAAAGTATTTCTAGGATAAGCGTTAAGTCGCCAGATCATTTGATAACCTATTGTGGCCCTTGTAAAATCAGTGACATCAATGTAACAAAACACAAAAATATGTGTAGAATGTCCCTACATTAGATTGTAAACATTCTACGCTTGTCGATATCACTATTTGTATACCTCTATGAGTTTCGAATACGTTATTCGCCTACGTGGAACTGGCATATTTTCTTGCTTAAATGCTTGATTCATGTGTCATCGATATAGTTGTGGGGAAACACGAGTTTGTGTAACGGACTCAGACAATAATGTTGTTAAGTAAATTTAATAGGTCAAAGGCAAATTGTGAAAGTTGCAGTTTCTTTAGTGTGGTTATCACAAGCTGATTTGCAATTGAAGTTATTGTAGAACCACAATCCACATGTTCTGCTGATGTTATTTTAGTGAAGCAAGTTGGCTTTTCTATCAAAGATACTGTCATGTCTGTTGGATTTTTAAAAGCACGACAAGGAAAGCAGACGAAGCCTATCCCGATTCCATTTGTCACAACTTACACGCAGCTTAAGCTTTCCTAGGATACTGCTGGTAACACATAACTAACTCCTATGTGCTTGACACACGGTACATAAGTCTGATTGGCGTTCACATTGACGGGCCTAATTACATGATATTTTTCTCGTTCTTCTGCTGGCATCGATAAAAGCACCTACGAAAACCCACATTATCACAAGTAAAACCGTCAATTAAGAAGAGGAAAATTGTGAGTTTTCGTAGGTTAATGCTGCAGACAATACAGTGGGATTTCGAATCTTCGAGAAGACACAAAGCCATAGAAGCCAATGGTACCGGGAGCTGATTTTGTTGTTTTTACACGAATCCCCTAGCTACCTCCAATTTTCTTAGGTGTTTGCTTCAAAATGCGTTAAAATACATGGCCGAGATACGCTCAATTATAGCACATGTTCCAGAAGAGCTGAGAATTGTCAGGATTCGATAGGCTTCGTTTTCGGAAATTTAAAAGCTTTTGAAGGCGCTAACTTTCCCAGAAACTAACTTTTAAAGTACACTGCCGTCCCACCCACTTCCCGGATTCCAGATTTAATGCGTCAGTACTGCCTCAAGGTCGCAGCTCAAGCCCGAGCACCGGACGAGTCAGTATGATGTGAGATGGAAGGCACCAGAGTGGGAGATGCACTAGAGTTCTCAAGCCGGTGCCTCTCCTCTGTCCCAACTATTGGCAACAAATCATTCTTCTGATTAATGTGGATTCTCTGGCTGCCCTATACTATCTAGTGAAGCCTTTGAGGACAACAGGTAAACAATAACAATGGTATCCAGCAACAACACCACACACAAGTTGAGTTACTTCATAATGTAGAATGTGCGAAAATCGGGCAGGTAATCGCACCTAACCCCCCGTCAGTCGATGCATTAGGTCAGTGACTCGGTGCAATGGCAAATAACTAACCCTCGACTAGGCCGCTTGAGCCCAACCCGGACATTTTTTCCAGCCTTGATCTAAGTGACCAGCTGTCCTCACTGATACAAGTCATTGCATGCATGAAAAGGAGCAGCAAGAAGAGATGGTAAAACTGGTGCACACATTCACTGAAACAAATTTTTTCATCAAGCGATGTACACAGCTTACGACGCTGGAACTGGCAACCAAATCCACTCGGTATTTGAATAGATACGAATGGCAGAGGTAATAAGTAAGACAAACCACAAAACTGTATTTGTAGCAATGTGCACGAAATCGAATAAAAAAACAATCGCCAGACTACGCCATGACCGGTTCATTACAATTCTTCCTGCTTCAGCTGCCCTTCACGAGTGTAATGGGTCAGCTCATTGGTGGCCGATTTTGCAACGAATTTCAGCATGTCTTCGACATCGCGTCCACCCTAAATATAATTAAATCAGGTGATTGGCATTTACCTCGTATTTAGTGGGATTGGTTTTGGCATTTTTGGGAACCCAGTAGATGGTAGGAAATCCATGAACACTAAAGGTGGGCGGGAAAGTATTTGCGGTTGCATCGATGGCAGCAATAACAACATCACTTTCTTTGGACAACTTCTTGGCAAGCTCCTCATATTTGGGTTTTAAGGCTTTGCAGTGTCCACACCAAGGAGCATAAAACTCAACAAGCACATCTTTTGATTTGTCAAGGACAATATCTTCAAAGTTCTTCCCAACAACTTTTGTAACAGGACCTTCCTGCTTTTCTGGAATCGGTTCAGACTTGATAAATGGTGTAAGGGAGCCTGCGGCGAAATCATTAACAAATTTCTTCAACTCAGATACGCTAATAAAAGCAATCAGCGAAAACCAATTATGACCTTACCCAAACTTGTCTTCCATCACATAAACTTTTCCATCTTCAGCCATAATTACTGCTTTTGGACTATCCGGTTCAACTGAAACGCCCATGTCACTGAGCTCCCCATAGTAAAGCTGGATATCCGAAAGTCCGAACTGTACATTAGTTTTAGATTCTTTGGCAGCCATTATCATTCGATTTCTGTAGTAACGAATGTTTGACGGATTACGCTCAAAATTAACTGCTGTGTATAAAACCAAAAGGGGTTTTTTGAAGAATTCCTCTGTCGTCCTATCGCGAATGCCGACAAGGCCAACACTAAAAAAATAACTTTTAAAAGAGCACCATACGCGTTTCCTCTGATCCACTGTTCAATTTCAGCAGCCTTGAAGGGACCTTCATAAATTTTAAAGTTTTCTTCCAATTTTGTTTCAAGTTGCTTTGGCCGAGAAAGTTTAATCAGCCTACGCAATAAAAGCACAAAATTTCAGCCTTACGTATCTTTAGAGGCATCCAGAAGTTTCTGTTTTGTGTAATAAAACTTGAAAAAGTTTCGCAACTTTTTCGCTGCCTTGAGGAATTCTTCTTTGACACTGGTTTCCTCAGTCTGGAGGGTAATGAAAATACCAGCACCCTCAGAAAGTTTTTCGTACTCAGCCTTTTCGGTTATCTCCTGGGCTGGCGGCCCGGCACGTGAGGCCATGAAACTAACGATTGCACCTAAAAAATTAGGTTAAAATTAAATAAAATCACCTTCCGAACGGTCGCCAGTAAAGTCCTCGACAAACTCGCCATGCTCATACACTTTCAGAGTTGGGTAACCACCCACATTTGCCTCCTTGCACATATCAGATTCCTCATCACAATTGACTTCAAAAAGTGGAACAGGTGGTGTGTTGCTCTTGAGTTCTGTTGCGGCCTTCTCATAATCCGGCGCAAGTGCTTTACAATGACCACACCTACAGAAATCCAGTTCAAATAATTTGAATAGAGCTACCATGGTGCGTAGTACTTTACCAATGCAATAGGATGTTTCGACAACTCATCTTTAGTACTTGTAGTGAGTTGTAGAACATCACCAGCAAATGCAAGAGGCAAAAGTATCGCAAGTAAAATTGGGCAGAACATCACCTGTGAAGTAAACTAGACGGAGTAATACACGGGTTTAAATGTGACAATGAAACGCTGTACGTAGCCTATTGGCTGAATATATTAGTGTTGCAAAGTAAAACGCAGTAAAAATGACTCAATGGAATTAAAACACTGGTAGCGATGCACAGACACACATATTAATATTATCTAAACTTTTAAGGGCATCCTTAAAATAAGTTGTATCAAGGTTCCATGGGCTTTACTAACGTTTTTGGTTTTAATGATTTTTATTTGAGAGAATTTTTCATTTTGTCTTAAACCCAAATTTTGCTCATTCAAAATTGCTTATAATTGGTGAGTTTCAAAAGTAGTTAACGGTAAAGTTAGAGGACCAAAACAGTCCAGAACCATTGAATTATTAATTGAGATATTAATTGTATCAAGTTGAACCCTGGATACGAAAACATATCCATTGAATTAGTAGACGTACACGTTTATTAACATCCCAAACTTTTTAGCAGATAATAATGCGTCCTAAAACCATAATTTATCTGTGTTAATCACTCTGGTATTTTGAAAATACACACCATTAATTGTGGGACTAAAGTGATGCAACCCTAAACTATAATCTCTGAATACATTATGTTTTTATATTTCCATCTAATTTTCACCATAAAGAACTGCAACATCCATAAGTTTTTTTTAAATTTGAACTTGGATGCTTCTCGTGGTCACTGTAAATACATCTTATTTTCATTAATATAAAAAATGTGGATGAAGAATCAATAAAATCATAAATTCCATGAACGAGGTTTTTCCTATATTTTAAACTCAAATTGAATTTTGCCATAAAGTAATAGGACAATTTACTTGACCGTAATTTTTTAATCTCCCATTGGTAATATTTGCTACGACTCAGCACGTTAGTTTGAACACGTATTTAGCAGCATCATGAACAAATATTTTCTGTCCACTACCAAAATGCATTTACATGTTTGCGTAAACAGGGTTGTACATATCACCCATTTGAAAATACGACTTCACTCAACCTTTTTTGAATGTAGAACTTTTAAAAAACAATTGGAATGACCAAATATGTTTAATGTTATGGTGATATTCGCAAGGTAATTGAACTTCAAACTATTGCATTATTTACCTTGTTTCTCACCAAGATCTGTCAAACTATTGACAAATAATAATTTGTATGTCAGCTCAGAATTTACTGCTTATATTACAGACAATTCGGTTTCTTTCCAACATAATTGCTAAACAAATAAAATGCCATTACATTGGACTGCTGTAACGATTGCCAGTATCAGAACACACGAATAAAATGAAAGACCACCATATCAGCACTAGGAGGAGGACAAACCATCTTTAAAACATAGACAAAATCCGTGCAAAATGAATTGCTTATTTATGCTTGATGATCTCGTTCGACGAGCTGAATGATTAACACTGACTTTGTACAAAGTTAGAAGGACCATGTGCACATTAAACTTTTAGTGATTTTGTAAGAATTATACCACATATTAAAAACTTTAATGTGTATTGCATATACCTTGAATGACTTCACTTCGATAAAGTAAATGCACCTTATCGTCCTTATACGGTTCATTATTAAGTGCAAATATATACAGCAGTGGATGAGCATGGAAAGATATTCAACGAAGAAGACACCTATAAATATGATGTATTATTTTGTTGAAGTCGTCATCAATGTCTATTCCATTCCGACGAAAGTAATTTGCAACGTAATTCATACTTCTCAGATTACAATTTTTGAAATTTCTGTTCACGCAACTAATCTATTGCCTCTTACGCATTAATTGCTATCTACTGATTAGATTCCTTTAATTAGCACATGCGCACATTAACCTCGTGTGATTGAGTTAACCACCTCCGTTTTCTCGACGGGGGATATTTGAGGCAATGCATGTAGAACTTAAAAACATATATATCGATAGACAATGCAAGCAATATTTGTGTACCAAACTACTGAAATGTGATAAAATTGGAATTAATAATTTCAGCATCTTCATCCAACTATGACATCTAAATAACCATGTTTTTGATGGCTTTGATGCATTTCGAATGAAAAAAAGGTAAATACAATTGGTTCCTAAATAATCTAGTCACTGGTATTGGAGTATGCGAAAACAAATATAATCACAAATAACAAGGATAACAGCAGCGTAATCGCTATGGTTATCATCAACGCAAAGAGCCACTTAGTTCCAATTGAAAGCCAAGCAGATTTTGTCAAGTTTCCGTAAGTATCAGCTGCTTGAGTTGTATCGTCTGGGATGTCAGTTTGGCGTCCGGTTTCGGATTGGGCGCTTCTTGGGCGGCAGGCCAGCTCTCGGCGCTTGGAGATCAAAGCTTGCACGACAAGGGCGAGTCGTGGAACCGTGGGTACACTCTGGTGTCCCGACTGCAGACGATTACGAAGGAGCTGGTGAATAAAAGAGTACAAGTGGCAAAACAGGTACCAGGTACTCCAATAAAATGAGTCACTTATTAGGTTATTAGGTTGGTAGAACTCATTTGATCAGTAGAACTTATTTGATTAATACTTTTGTGAATATGGTGTAAATAAAACCACCATAAGCAATAGTAGATATTCGCGTTACAATCGATGAACAGCGTAAACGGTCCGTCACGTTAGATTTTAATAGCATTATCTACTATTGGGGATTGTGATTGGTTTTCCGACAAACCAGTAAAGTAAAACAAAGTGTTATACGGAAATAACACGACAAATACTACACTCGCCCAAGCAATGGATATTGGTAAGCAATTACACAGGGGAAAGAATCGGACTTTAGAGAAACTGGGCAAGGGAAAAGTCCGAATTTGAACAGGATACTTTTGCACACGATATTTCGTTTTGCGCTTCCGACGCCAAATGATTGTCTGAACATCGATATTGCCGCCTGTCTCGAGCGGTTGGAGTTCAGGAATGTGGTAAAGATACCGGAAGTAGTCTGAATTCTTCCTTGCGTCCTGTTCAGCGTACCATTTTTCTGAAGCTACCTTCAACAATTCGTCCAGTGGTTTCAGATGTATACCAAAATGCTTTAGACGCAGCTTGGCATGTGCTTTGTTACACGGCGTTGTTGGCCTTAGATTTTTCCGAATTTGAGACACTCTGCAATGTCCATTCAATTTTTCTGTGAATTTGTGACCTAATTATGGTCCGTTCAACCCTGTTTATTGGGAAGTTTCTTCTATTGCACCGCAATCCACATGATCTATGTCTTCTGTTGCTGGTTCGTAGTTGTCTTTGGGTGCCTGTTGAGTTGTATCGGGTGTTGATTGGCAGCATCATTGCAGGCACCTTAACATCCGGATCTTGTTGGCAGGACCTTTCCACATTTTTCTCTGGATCAACGATGCTTGCGTTGACAGAAGCCTCAGGAAGGAAAAAAGGCTCATTTGAATTGCTTAGACGTTGCTACCTTAGCCGATACTTCGAATTGCTAGACCCAAAATCAACATACGGTCTGACACAGACTCTGAACCACATTTATTTGTTTCTAAAAAGGTCGACAGTCATATCCTGATAGTAAGACAGAGTGGGATCATGTTCCTGTACCGTAATCCATAAACAGTCGATTTATTTATCAATATGATCATCCATATTTCCGGTTCTGAAGTGTGATTACCATCGAATGGATGTTGAGGCTCTCTACATCCATTAATGGCACAACCGCGCAACGTTTGGCAGTCTTGGGCAAGATGCTTAACTTGTAAACAACGTCAACATAGCATCAGCTCCTGAACCACCGACAACCTTTTCTTCATGTTACAAGATAGGAAAGTTGTGCATCTGTCAATTTTGTGATGTTCTCCGCAGAGGGGACAGCGAGTTTAAGCAGAATGATCTTGACGGTGCAAATTACCAGCGTTCCAGGCGTGCACTTCTCCTTAACGTTTTACTTGCTCGTACCTTGGCTTAATGGCTAATTCACCAAACCTGGAGCTGGCGATGGCAGCTCGTTTTTCCACGAATCTTAGTGAGTTATTAAATCGAAGTCAGTCTCCTTGCCTCTGAAATCTGCTAGCTATCTTGGCCCATTTGAACTGATGTGGAATTGGAAGTCTCTGCGCGACCGCCTCAAGAATTCTGTGAGAATTAAGTTCAGAAGAGTAAATGAACTGGGTTAAGGTGGCTTTACAGGCTTGCATCCGTTGGCTCAACTTGACCAATTCTTGGGAGTTATCGGCTTTTAGTGGAGGATCGTCAAGACATTCATGCAAAAAGGCTGCTACAACAGTTACATCTTCGTCAAATCTCATTATAAGTATTTCCTTTGTGACTTCAAAACCTGCTTTTCATTGAAATTAGTGAAGTGCTCTATAGCTTCCAAGTATTTACTTGTTCTTGAATATAACTTTCGTTGGAATTAGTACTAATTTGTCAACAATATTTCCAAAACAATGTAAATTTCTAAAAATTAAAGCATATAGAAAAAAATCTTTGCAATAACGTTATATCAGGTGAACTTCGTAAATGCCTTAGCTAAGGCAAGCGAAAATTCAAACGCTTGTGATCTGATTGAGCCTCGACCTGACATACTAGGAATAACCATTTAGTTTGTAGACACTTTCAGACTCGAAAAATGTTCCGAAAATCAACTTCCAAGATTGCTCTGACATCGGGCTAAATAGGTAAAGAAAATACAATGTTGCGTGCTTTCTTCCAACTACTAGAAAATGGACATGCAATCCGTCCTAAATTTCATCGTTTGTCAGATCGAATTAAGTTTTAGAAACCCTAGATTTTTATCATAATGGATCCCAAACTAACTTCTGTTTTCATATAAGTAATCTAAGATGTCAGTCAGTCCGTTCAGGAGGTACAAGGTTCAAAGCCCGCTTTTGCAAAAGAACTAAGAATTTGACACTTTTACTGATTGCAGTTCAAAAGTAGCCTAAATTCTAGCAGTTAACTAAAGAGTCAAAAATTATGCAAGGCTGTTGTTATTCCAGAATACCCACAAGTAAACACCGGTTCTCAGTAGGCTCACTATTTACTGCTCCCAAAATTGTATTAAAATGACAACCATAATGTGAACTGTTCCACGACGCACTTTTCACACTTTGTATTTTCGAACATTAAAATTTTGCTCAAAAAATGTTAAATAAATTTCGCGACAGTAATTAATTTGCACACATTACAAGGAGGTGAACCTACTTTTACTGTGTTTCTAAGTAGTTTTATGGTCGTAATGTCGGTGACTAAGTCGACGCGCTCCTTTTCACTGACGTTGACCTGGTCTACTGTGGCTGCCTGTTGATCGGGAATTCCCTGCCCAATTCGGCGAGTTTCATCAACCTTCTTTGCTATCTCTGGAACATCCGGAAATGCCGTCATGAGACGCTGTATCCGTCTGAAGCTGTGCAAGGCAAAGTCCATGAAAGCAACATAATACGAGCAGAGCTCAATCAAAGCACTGTCACTTGAAGGCGTCCTTTTCTGTGCTTCTATGACTACCATAACGTTCGCCTGGATAGTTGTCAACGCAGTCATCAAAGCACCTCTCTGTTGAATCAATCGGTGCCTGAGTTTGTTCGAGTCCTCAGAGGTTCCAATTGAGTGGCAGGTCAAGTTATAATTAGCCAACAAAGAGCTCAGCTGGGGCCTCATTTTCGAGAGATAATCCACTGCCTGCTGCATTGGGGAAAAGGCAGTAATGAAAGAGGTACACTGCTGCATCTCCTGATTATTCCTGAATAAATATGATTGGTTGTTATGCGATTTGTTTATAGATATTTACCAGGGTGTGGCAGCAGTCAAAAAAACAATGAATCAAATGCTCGTAATTAATAGAAATCCGAAAAATGCGGCATTAGAAATGGGACTTAAATGTTTTAGGAAGTCTTTTCGATAAACAAGATTCTATGACTGACACAAAATTACTTAAAATGAGATAAAAACAGCGTATAAATGAGACTGGCGTAGTACCGATGACAGCAATAGCTAATTTATTTACGTTACAGTTGTAACAAGGAGCGATGGATGCCGTGAGAACACATAGAAGCTCTCTACAATTTCTATTTTGAGCCATACGTTTTTACATCAAAACAAGCAGCATACACAGCACCTGTAAAATAACGCTGCAGCAATGGGGGAACGAAATTTGTTTTTCTTAAATTTTTAACACTAGCCCAATCTTTTTTAACCGGTCACAGCTTTGCGCCTCTCTTCTTCGATAAAAATTGATCAATCTTAAATTGTGAATTACAGTTTCAATTCAGAAAATTTTTAAAACGTAGCTTTTCTTTTGTGTAATTTAAATCTAAAACTGTGCTGATAAATGCGGAGATGAAGATAGCATCTTGCTGGCAGTGGAAGGCTAAATTGCAGCGACGATTGTACCATAACTACTTAATATTTAACCCACACAAATTGGAATTTATCATGCATTTGTATAACAATAAGAACGAATCCCAGACATAATTTACATATGACTTAGGCGTGGAAGTGTTTAATTGGTGGTTCATTGTAGTCATCCAAAGTGTTTAGGATTATTTGTGCTCAACGTCTCCCTTAATTAGAAAATTTGTGTTTCCTGTGTCTATTTTCTACCTTTTTACCTATTTTAAAATCAGCCGAGTCCACTTCTGTAGAAGGAAAGCCAAGATAAAGCAGGCACACAATTTTGCGTTTTGTGTGGTATTTTGAACTATCGATTTGGAATTTGTGAGTAATACACTTTTCGGATTAGAATCATTACCGACGACCCTCGCATTATGAAACTAATTTTGAATTCTGGTTTTTCAGTGGATAACTTTCCATGGCTCTTGTCCTTTAATACTGATAATTTCAGTTTAATTCATGATTGCTGGATTATGACATTTTCCCCACATTTTGCTGCTTACATTTCTGTCCTCGTGCCCTTGCGTTTACGTAAAAGAAAATAAAGAAATTTATTGCCATGATGACATAAAAAAGACGTCTATTTCTTTTTATTTCGTCGGAGAATCGCAGCCTGCACGTCATTCAGAAGCCATATTACAAAATAATTAAACTGTTTTTATGACAAATGGCATGTGAAGGAGAAGACAGGTGATTAATTATGCATAAATTTACCTAGAAATAGGTAGATTTCGTGCGAATACCATTTTGTTATCTATTTGACAGAACGCTTGATATTTAGAGTACCGTGAAAACATATTTGTCAGATGAAAAAATTATCACCAGCCTTCTACTTAAGTTAACGTCTTAAGGTGAAAAAGAGCCTTCAAACTGTAGAACCAACCAGGATATTGTTCCATACTGCCAGAAATATTTCAGTCTTAGTGGAATCGTCTTTAAAAGGGAATAATGTAATAAATTCTTCATGGAAAAACCAGTCAAAACGTATGAAAGGTATTTTATGGGGTTAAGCCTCCCAATTAAAAGTGCGTTGCATATCATCAGAGTTGTCAGATACAAAGTATGCTGTTAGTTGACGATTTCATGTCAGGTTAACGAGTCTACCGGGGATTTTAAGCGACTTTGAAAGAATAAAAAGCCAATAAACATTATTTTGCATTATTTTACAACACAAGTGCCTAAGCATGTCAACACATCTTAGTAAATGACAGGCTTTAAGCCGAAAACACACATCTGGAAGCACCAACAAATCCTAATTTTTTTTAAAAAAAACGGAGAATGTTGTCATCAAAAGCGGTCTCCTGGCCCCAAGAGTCTGCATCCTCAAGTAGTGACTGTCAGTCCACTTGTAAATTGTCTGAGCGCAGCCTTCACTTAAGTTGCCTGTGGCGATGTTGAAGAGGCGCAAGGGCCACAAAAGTGGTCACTTGGGTAAAGAGGAGGTGAAGTGTGGACGCCGGCCCGCCCCCTCCCCTCGCCACCAAACCCACTGATTACCATACAAGACGCTGGGCAGGCGCATCCCCAGGGGGTCGGTCTGTAGTTTTCGCTCATTTATTTCGGATTTAAGGCTTGCCACTTGTTGCTCCGAATGAAGACATGGAAAACACAGCCCATCTGGAACCCTGTGGTTAAAGCAGTCTTTCCTAATTTGCATGACAATAGAGTGGAATGAGATGGAACAGGCGGCATGCACCTTAAAGTAAAGTCTATTTTAGAATTCGCCTCCAAATTACCAAGCTTCTTGAAAGCCTATGCGGTAGCTTTGACTATTTGGGTGGGCATTTGTGCCTATGTTTTTCTGCCTCTGACACATTATAGTCATAGTCACAGTACTAATCGCCTTTGCAGATAAGACATTGATGAGGACCTCTTTTTTACATAATATTGAGAACTCAAATTCTAACAGGGTAACTACAGTGTGATTGATGCACCACTGTTTATAATAGTAAAGATAAGGCGCATTTACGTCCAAGGTTTACTGTCGTAAGCGTTATTGTGGTTATTCCTGGTTCTGCAACAAATCTAAGTTAGTTCTGCTTAATGTGCTTTTATTCGCTTACTTGATTAAAATCACAAATAGTCTCTTCTTTAGTCTGTCGTCAATTTCACGTGGCTCTAATCAAAGATTATACAAAATGTCACTAATTTTGACAAATTTTATCATTTTTGTCAAGAAATTAACACTTCGAGCATTTTAATTTTTACTTTACCTGAGATTAAAAAAAAACCTGAACATCTCAACGTGCTTTCTTTTTTTATCTTGAGAAATTCAAACAGCTTTTTTAGATGTACAATGGTACTTTGTCATCTAAGTAAATTTAACTTAAAAAGCTCTCCTTGTTCTTAAGTGTCCCTATTAGGAATTTTGTGGTGGAAATGTAAGGTCATTTAGCGCTCACAACATATTCAAAACTGTACTATTTCATTAGGCCAAAAAAATTACATTCGAATTGACTTGCTTAGTTATCTTCAAATGGAAACAGGATAAATTATTATTAGTCAAAATTTGGCAGATGTGGCCCTGCAATTTTGATCAAATATTTTGTAACTCCCTAGTTAGTAATGGTAAGTAATGACAGAATCCAGGATACCTGATATGACTCAATTAGAAATTGACTAAAAATTCATTGAAAATGTGAAGAATATTAATGGTGACAAGACGAATAGAACTCCCACCAAGAACTTCCACAATTTTTTTTAACATAGCAAAATGGTTAAAGCAATTTTATAAGAATTCACATCAAAAGACCAAAGTAGCTATTAAATGGCAAAAAGGGCAAGGAACTTGGGATTGCTTTTAAAAAAAGATTAGCAGAAGATTGACTTCAAAGTAGTCCCAATTTGAATAATCGTACATTAAATAGAGCGTCCATCACGGGCCGTCACACAGGGCGTTAACAGCACAACCAGTTCCAACCATTTCACATTAGTGACTATAAACTGGAAGCCAGAATCAGGAACCTGCCCAATTTTTTACAAAATGGCCTTATATTGCGGCGTACTTAGAAGTCGCCTGACTTGAAATTTTGGCTGCTGCTTAAGTATCAGATCAGATTGATGAAATTCCTCGACAGTTAAACAAATCAAAGAACGACTAAAAATACCATAAAGCAATGTCTCACGCACAAAATACCTAGAGACATGTAGTCACACTCGAAAAAAATCGTAGTTTTGATAAGAATTAAAATATATAACTCTACCTGTAAGTTTAACCCTAGCTGAATCAACGAAATCGTGTCGATTAGGGCTAAGTAGCATGCTGTTGAGTAAATCGAATGGACTTGTTTGGTATCAACGCAACATAACTGTTAGGGTAAGGATGCGTATCAGGTAAATAGCTTTTCGTGAATAGAAAAAAAGGGCTTACGTGCAGGAATCAACAGACCCGATTGCGTTGTCTGGTATGTTGAAATCAGGTCAAGTTGTCGAATCCGCAGAGGGGGTAAACCTACTGATTGCAGGCTCGGGTCAGCTTTGAGGTAGCACGTGCTCATTCACTCACTGCTCATTTGAGGTTATGGTCAGGGACGTGACCGTGACACACACGGACTCAAAGCATTATTTCTGCTAAGACGGAATTTTTAGATTTATCGTAGGCGACCTAGCCACACACACACACACATCCGAACTGTGAAACCGCTGCGATTCTAGAATGTTCTCAACGTCATGTCTTCATGAGGATATTTCTAGCAGAAATAACTTATAAGCCAAATTTGATTTCAGCTTCACAGAACGAATTTCGATCAGATTAATGAAGATTAATTTCTGTGTCAGTGCTCACCGTTTTCGGCAATGTGATTAAGAATATGTTTCCCCCTGTAGTATCGGATGTCACATCAACGAATTAATTCCGATTCCAGTGAAGATTATGTTCACGACCAAGTAATTTTATAATCCTGAATTTTCATAGTTCAAACAATTTTGAAAATTAACATTACTTGTGTACCGGCCTAATAGATTCGAAGAGAATGCTCCTTCAAAGTATGAACTTTAGATATAAGCCGTGTTAATTAAGGTGAATCGATTAAATTCCTTAACCAAATCCTCAATAAAATTTGCGACATGACTTGACATGTTGCCATTATCCAGGTTCTGTTTGTTCCTGTTCAGGACCAAAAGCAACGCGTCATTATAAGACTTTGGGCTGTTATTTTCATGGGGACTTCAGTAAGATCTACAGACCCCACAGCATCCACGAGGAATATAATCGACGGAAGCATTCTATGCATGTAAAGAGATGAATAGGTGTTAACAACCGCCACATGCGCTTATTTCCGAATGTGAAAAGAAAATACAATTAGTTCTTTGCAAATTTAAGAAGATAAAAGGGACAATGATGTAATCAGACGGTAATAGGTAGTTATTTGTAAATACTGATCGACTGTAGTTGGGTTGTACGATGTCGAGTGCTGTTTTAAAGTGATTTTTTGTCACCAGTTCCTACGCTGTTGCATCCTTAGATATTTTGGTTTCAACCGCGTCCCCCTTTTTTCAAGTTGTATAATTTATTTAGAAAAATTCATCTTCCCTCGTGTGAATTTTATAGTGCTAATGACAATCGGTTGCCACTACTAACACCGAAGCTCTGCTGTTTTTACAAATCAATTTAACTCAAGTCAGAAAAGCGAAAAATGCACACCACGGAATCCGACTTAAGAGAAACGCCGATGTTTGGTTACATTCAGTCATTTTATCCCGGGTTATCAAAAACCAGAGTAGTTTTTTTCAAAATAACAATAAATTCTATTCCATTCTTGTTTTGTGTTTGGCTATTTCATTAATGGCCACCGAACCGCATTTACTGGGCGTAGTTTGATGGCTGTTTTCTGGTCAAAACTGTGGGCGCATGCGGACTACCCATAAAAACGCCTACACGTTACGCGGCAAAGCTTTCTAGTGTTTTTAGTTGTTATAGTCACTTAATATCCCTTCATTTTTAGCCTTAAATGTTGAATATGGGAAATTCAAAAATCCGCTAATGTTTGGTACCAGAATCCAGTTCATGGATTCATTTGTAGTTAGTATTGTGCTTGATTTGGACTTGTAATGCATCTTTAGCTGTAAATATTTCAAGGCTCCGTAATACAAGAAGTCGCCTTTAGTTTTTTTGAAAATTTCGCAAATTTAGTGGCGTTTTTTCTCTTAAATGTTACTGTGTATGCAGACGCCTTAACTACTCCGTCAAATAGTTAAGTACAGCTAGAGCACACACATTCTTGTAGGTAACACGAAATAACATCTGACAAGTATCTTGTCAATCGCATTAATATCAAATTTTCCAGAATAAGTCAAAGTTTCCGAAGTACTCCGCAAATTCCATTTCCTAATCAGGCTTGGTTTAAGGTCCGTTAGAAAGTGTGAAAATGAAATTACTCGGTTTAGCGAGAACCGCTCGAAGTCTGGTGATAAGTTAAGCTGACCACAGCATAAAAATCATGCCTTTGAGCTTAATGACCAAACTGAATAATAGTTTTAGGTCTAAATCTGGGAAATAACTAACTCCATGCCCACTTCTCACGCAAATCTCAAGTTTGACCACACGCGAACAGCAGAGGATGAAATTATAACGCATGTTGCCTGCGTTTTCACACTGCCACCACCAGTACCACCATCGCGGCGTAATTAGAACAGCACCCCTCTCTGCGAATCTTGTGGTGGAGGTGGCGGTGGTGGGGTGGTCACTGGCCCTCAGTGGAGCGGTTGAGCAGGGGAGTGGGGACGGACGAGCGAACGCCACAGGCGATGTCCGTCTCCGCGCGAACTTTTCACGCCTTCAGACAAGGTGAGTGGGGGTGACACATCATGGGGACTGCGATTGGTCTGTTCGTGTGCTCACAAAAAACCACGGCGGTATAACCTGTCTTTCATAATAATTTAAATTAACTGAGCAATTTCACAGAGATCGCACAGCCACATGCCATCAACTCGATTTTCTGTACACCAAGTGAGTCCATGTGTTTTTCATGTACTTAATACAATCTTTCCCCACCTCATGTCGTGACAATCATTTACTGCTCTAAATTTGTTAGAAATCCAAAGTGTTGAAAGCCAAGTTCTTCCAAAAATAAGTGAAACTTTAATCAAAAAGAAAATTTTTGCAAATCGACGTGCTATAGCTGGAGACTTTACTTGTCTTTCGCTGTTTTGGGTTTATAAGCGTATAAAAAAGAAACTTTCTCGTGTGACTAGGTCAAACCTAATTCACCTCTGCTGATATGTAGGAACACAGCAAGGTTTATTTAAAATGGTCACTATTTTGTTAAACCAAACAATGGCTTATAATGTCTTAAAGATTGACGAATTTAGGTTAATCCATGAAGTAACTTTCAAAAGTTCAACACCGAACGAGTGATGTGTATCAACGTAATGTTGGGTCAGCATGAAGAAGCGTACAGTACAGTACTCCAGTAACTACGTGGTTTGAGTTTCAACTTTTAATTAAAACTTTTTTTCCACTTAAAGTAATGGATGATGTTATCCCCCACGTCGGCATTAGGGTTTTCTTTTGAGGTGGGCATTTTGAGGTGTATAGTAGTGTTGCATTTTGCATTTCTGAATGAAAACTGTGAATACAAGTACCTTCAACTTTGGCGGCTTCCATGAAATTCTTTGATTTGCATCGGGAAATCAAGCAAGGAGATGCTAGGCCCAACCCGGGCATCTGCGACAACCCTTGGACTTTGGGTTGCGTGCTTTCGCAAGGGGTCCATTGTTATTTTGTGTAACCCAGGGTCAATTCCATAGAAAAGACTCCCTAAAAAGGCAAGTTCTTCTTCAGCCGACCTGATCCCGATTGAGTTCAGATACCTCGTCTATTTTCCTCACCTGAAAGGAATCAAGGTCGTACCCCTGTTACAATAGGGCATTAGTTACAAAATCTTAGATTGTCAATAGGTATTATGGGGGGTGCAGAATATGAATTACACAGGAAAGTTTATTAAAAATAGCATCTTCGGGCTGGGTTCTTATTTTTAAGAATTCGACTAGTAAAAGGGTGAAATTTTATGCAATTTTAGAAGAAAATTAAAGTAGTGTAACGAATAATTATAATTAGTAGATTCCAATTACTGACTGTTGGTTTCAAGCCCTATGAACGGGTGGAAGATGCAAAGCACCCACGATTGGGTATCATGTAGCTTTAAGGTGCCTACTGGCAACCGTCGCAGACAATCGTCTGCATTCTCTTTTCACAAAGCAAACAGTTAAAAGCCATTCACCCATTCCCTTCAATCCTCCAAAATGACACCATGTATAATGATATATAGTGGGACTTAGATATGCGATCCCTGTATTAGAAACATTGAAGCCTCCTGATTTCGTGGTTCAACTAGATTTCACATATTTACCTTTAAAGTAAGCACTACAACCTCTGCGCACCAATGTAAATGAAATGAAAATGAAATTTGTACGGTTCAGTCTTGTGTTGCCAGAAACGGTAGAGTAATACACTTTATTCCTCTTACCCTCTCGAGTAGTGTGGTGTCAGCGTTGATCAATAATGTCTATTACAGTAGCCATGGTTTCAAACACCACCAATTAATGGCATTTAATTTCAGACAAATTACCCTGTGTCATCAAAGCACATGTAAAATCAAATATCGTTTTGCAGTTGACTTTAGTTTAAACTCATCTTTCTTAATATAAACAATGATTCAGAATTTACTAAGTAGCCCGATGACGGATAAGCTTTCTTGATGTTCTCCCACCATAGCCAAAGCTCCTTCATCCTACTGTCACGGGACTGTGATCAGTATGTGCAATTTCGATCGTAACGAGCCCGCATTTTTCACATGCGCAAGCTGTCAGCGTCCAATATTGTCAAAGTTCTACCTCAGACTTTCGCAACCGTCAAAAGACCATCAGGATCAATCCTTCAGCCAGTTTCACCTCACCTGTCTTCGATGTTCCCGGTGTGGATTCCAACTTGATGAAACTGACAAAAAGTGCTGGGCGAACCGACTTTACGGCGTACTCTGTCAATTCTGTCACAGAACGTGAGTCCATAATTTAAAAATCTGCATCAGCTCCTGCATTTACAAGTGCTCTTAAACTGCTACACTTGCGGAGATTTGTGCTTGACAGAAGTAAAAGGTGCAACGGGTGTACCCTTTTGCAGAGCCAAAAAAGATATTCTTCTTTTCTAATCATCAAGAACTATCAAGCATTTCAAACCCGATTAAGGAAAGGATATATTTGAGAAACCATTTGATAAACTGTCCACATCTTGGGGAAAAGTCGAAGTAAATTTGCATTTGCCCAAAATGTTTTTCCTTTTATGGAAAAAATTTTGACTTTGACGACCACATTATGCTCTCAAGTTTCCTTGGTTTTTCAGTACATTCATGCATCTTCTGTTGGAACAAATTTTCCTACCGAATTGCGTATAAGCCAAATAAATAAAACCCTTTCTCTTATCTTTCAGGCAGCCAGCGCATTTCTTTTCCGAGGTTTCCGAAAAAAATTAATGAAGATGAATACGAAAACGTGTACATAGGGTGAACTAACGTGATTGAAACCTTAAAAACGTGATAATGTAAATGTAGGCCCGATGTTTGACAGGTGACCAAATTTAAAAACCACTTACTTGGAGTCTCCGCACTGAAATGGTGTCTGCGGGGTTAGGCTTAATTCCACTCAAGTGTAGACAGACTCGATTCTTTTCCCCCGAGATTTGTATCGGAATGCTGGAAGTGCATTTCGGTGTCAGCATCTTCAGCACCTTTTCAATTGTACCTAATTGGCACTATGACCGTGCCTTTTACCAGAGTCCTCGCTGACTCATGTCAATTCGCTTACGAGAGTTTTCGCATGCCTGTTACATCTATTCAGTAACGGTAAAAGACAAAGTAACGAAAAACTTCGTGCATATTTGAAATTACACTAATAATTTTGAGGCCTTTCGTCAAAAATGGAGCGATAATGTTTAGCTGGAGGTTCATGTGTCTTTAACGGCACTTTACTGGGAAAATGGAATGAATTTATATCAATATTAAAGGCAATGCTTAAATGTTATCACAATCTAGTTTACTTGTTAGCATTCAATGAAGAAAATTTGGTAAAAAATTACAGAGAAGAAACGCGATGTTCTGCTTTCCCATGTATAAAAACGGCGTTCTATAGGAATCCACTAATAAATAACTGAAACAGCTAATAAGGAAGGAAGGCATTAATTCATGTAAAAAAATATATAGGCCTACCTGGAGAAAGCATTTTTAGAGCGAAATGATATTTACGATGGTCGACAGCTGAAAAATTGACTTTCAGTTATTGTAACAGCAAACTAACAGATTTAATCCAAATTGGAATTCTAATGGTGACAATCAATATCACAGTTTTCCTGCTAGTGATAATACTGATCGTTTCGTTGTGGGTGTGTGTGTGTGTCAGGAAGTAGACCGTCACTTAAAGTTTGTGATCGAAGTAGTTATTAGTTTTTTTGAAAGAAAAAAATAATGTATCCTCTCGACTATTTCGAACTTCGAATGAGACTAACTCAACGTTAGGATGTTTCGCCGGGACAGAAGTTGACAGTTGCATTCAGTATAAGCCCGTTTACATTCAGCCTATTTGAGCACAATTCATGAAATATTTACTTGAATAACAATAACCATGTGCATGCACTGACCCCACAAAGACTGACCTGAGCTTAGAAATTTAAATAATTAACACAAAGCAACGTTATCAATATTAACGAAAAGTCAATTATTTTTCGAAATGCAAGCGTTTTTTTTCTTACTTGAGCCGTCTTTGTAAGTAGTGTTGTCAAAGTACAATCGCTCATTTACCAGTTTGACGCACTGCTCCAAGTGCAAGAATTACATGCCGCGGGACTCGTGGGTGCAGCGCGTCTTTGACAGCGCCTTCCACGTGGACTGCTTCACCTGCGCGCTGTGCAACCGTCAATTGCAATTCGGTGAATGCATCGTCTTCTCACAAGGGGAGATCTTTTGCGCGTGGCATTCGTACGCCCATCAGCCGCCTCCATTCGCGAAGGCACAGACGAAGCCACCACCGGCTGGGCGTGACCCAGTTCCACTGAGGGACACCTACCTAGACCAGGCGCTCGAAGAGGAATTAGTCGATGAAGGTCGGTGCAGCATCCAGTCGTGCGAAATCAGGAAAATTTTTATTCAGTTTTTTTGCAAATATGCAGCCTCATCTCCAATCAAGTTTTGCAAAATCGTTATCAAAACCCAAACAGAACCTTCAATGACTCCAAATAAGGCCAGCACTGTTGGTGTAAAATGATGTCATTGGTTAAAAATAGCTCAAGGAAGCAACAAATGCCCGCTATCATTTAAAAATATGATGTGGACCACTTATTTAAACAAAAAATTGTATCCCCCGACATGGCTACATAGAATAGCATCATATTATCAGATGTCAAAAGCTAGCATTGTTATCCATTTTTGGAAATAGAACGAAAACAGTGACTGCTTAAGTTCCTCGATTTGCACGAAGTTTTAGGTAATACTGCATTTAGGAACTAAACCTGTAAAATCGCTTGGTAAATTTTGACCTCGAGTAGGAAATATTTCGCTGTTGTCTCATTGTATTTCGAGACTGGAAGAACGTCACTTCTCCACCGTGGTGCCCAGCTTGTTCTTCCAAGCTACGATGAGCATCCTTACTTGCATGTTTTACCACGTTTAAATATGACACAGGGTATACAAAAGGCTCAAGCAGTAGTCAGTAATGTGATTAGTTTTAAAACATTCATATGCACGTACCAATCCTGTGATAGTCATAGGTTAAAGATTGTTAGCTCTTAGCAATGGCAAATTACAAAAAGGTGGAACTTCTTACTAGTGCGGCTGATAAAAATGACTGGATGCAAACAGCGGCCCTGAAAATATTGACTGAGCTGTACAAAAATGGTGTTGCATCCGCTGTAATTTAACACCGAAAGCCATCAGAGAGCATTCAAGTTTAATGGTTGTCACTTTTGTCGTGTGAGTTATCGAAAAATAAATTTCGTAAACAAATTTTAGATAGTTGGAGACAATCATCTCAATTATTACGTATTCCTCACTAGCTGCTTTCTAGAATTTGGATTATTGTACTCCGGGCCGCAATCTAATAACTTAATATGCGAAGTACGCAAACCAAATAAAACGATGTGATGTTTCAATAATTAAAAAGGATATATACATAGTCTGAAAAATGCATTTTCTTTAAAAACATTTAAATGCAATTGAAACGTGCTAACAGACCTATATATTGGTACTTTAATTTCGTATAGCAATCAAGATATTTGTGCATTAATCTTTAGTTGTCTGTTAAGATCTTTCAATGATGGTTATTTTACAAATCTCATGTAGATCAATAATGAACCAATAGCCATGATTGATTATTTGCTAACTGGTCTGATTGAGCATTAATACCTGGACATGTTTGGAAGCATCGCTTTATCTAACGGTTGGCAATCACGACATCTGTCAAATTAGATGGTCATCCGATTGGTACAGAGGACATCTCGTCTCCATCCAAACCAAACTCGATCAGCCAACCATCAAGCGGATCTGAGATTACTTTTGACGAATCTCACATTTGTGAAGAGAACAGTGTGAACACAGTCACACCTTTCACATCCTTCATTCAAAGTCACCAACAGCCGCAGCGTTCAGCCTCACGATCCATTGTTGGCAGTCAGCAGCGGTCAAAAAGGATTCGTACTAGTTTCACCCCCCAACAAATAGCCGTGCTACAGGCCAGCTTCAAGACAGTGTCGAATCCCGATGGACAGGAACTAGAGCGAATTGCCCAGGCGACTTGTCTCACAAAAAGAGTAACACAGGTTAGAAATTATCATTATGTAATATTTACTTAAATACTGTCAGTACAAACTTCTTGATTTTGAAATTAAGATTGTGGACTACGTGAGATGACAGCAAGCGATGTTATCACTGTCTGCAGCAAAATTTAAAAAGCTCTAAACATGCAGGAAGACAAATTCTTAACGAGACAATCATGAAAAAAAAGTAGAATTTTGCATAGTTATGAATGCTGAGCAGCTACAGTCTTCCTCGTTGCCTGTAAAATCATAAGCATGCTGAAAGAATGCACTCGGACAATCTTTTCGACATTTCCAAATAAAAAAAAACCAAAAGGGTTTGTCATTTCCTTAAACTGTATCATTTCGACCGCCAATGTAACCTAGTAGCACCTTAAAATTAGGTAAAAAGTGTCCAAACGAGGATGATTGTGCGTTGTAGAGATTTTTAACTAGTGTCTGCTGAAACAATTGCTAAATTTTGTAAAATCGACAGGGTTTGAGCATGTCAAATATTTTTGCATGTAATTAGCAAGCCACAAGAATTTCCCTAAAAAAATTAATGCAGTTATTTTTCAAGAAATTAATTTGCGCTTGAAATCAGATTAAAATTAAATCAACAGCTTCCTCCCTGGAATCATGGACTTATTTAAAAGGCACTTCGCAATTTCCATGTCCAAGTTTTATTTTTGGCCAAAGTTTCTTCATTCTGGTATCGTTTTATCCATGTTTTGATTGGTGACTTATTACAATTATTTCAAACGATCCAAGTAAATAGAATGGCATGAAATCGATATTTACGGTCGGTCATATTCAAAACTTGAAAATATTTAATTAAAAAAAAACTGCATGAGAGATTTTATAATCAAATAGTTATATTTAGCAGGCTAAAATTTACGTTGTCTGGTGCCATTTGTCTGTTGACACGTTCAATAAGATACCCCAATCAGAAACAACTATTTCTGATCATTTGTAAGTTGATTTATATGTAAAGGGAATTAAGTAGTGCAAAAGCAAGTACTTAAATAAAAAAAATTACTGAAAAATATTTTCCATGGTCATAACTCAATTTTTTCTTTGTTCTGTAATTGGAGCAAACGGTTGAGAAAACTCGTGTTTGTTTACAATTTATAATTTTGTTACGGAACAATTTTCGAGAAAAACACACTTAAACCCTGTACGCACAGCATTACTGAGTTAAAATCAACTTAACTTCATTTTGGTAATTATTTAGTGTCAGGATGGAAGGATGATAACTTTGCAGAACTTTTTGATAGAAAGGTATTAAATAATAGGTTATATTTTACAATTTTTGTTAAAAAAACATGGTTTTCTGAAAGACCGCTTATTTTTTTTACCAATCTGTTTCCCTACCGGAGCCAAATGCGCGTAATTTAAACAATTAAAGAGGCTAATGTAACTTAAGTGGGTTTCAATCCCGACGCGACAGCAGATTGCATTGTTTACTATTTCTCACAGTCGCACAAAGCCATTTCCAGTTGCAAGAAAGCCGTCTTCTAGAAATGCATCGGTGCGTAGGCGTTACTCGGGTTTGAGCATCACGAGTCAGCCTTTGCGCAAAAGTCGGTACGTTTGTCCCATTGTCACACCTCCCACCATTGTGATTTTGCGTCTGCATCAGGTGTAAAAGCACCACCAATCCGTAAATTTTAGAAACATTAATTCTACATTAATCCAACGGCGTGCGGTCGGGTTAAATAAGAAATGCGGCATCGCGTTCTTGCAATGTTCCAAGAACATCCACTGTGACGAGTGATTTAAACAAAGAACAACTGCGCTGGGAGGATTTGCCACGTTTACCTAACTGTATTAGGTGAATTTCGTCCATATCAAGGCACACGCAAATGTTGGACTTTTTGACATTTGCGCAAGTTTTTATTAGTTTTCAGTTGTTGTAAGCCCTCTCTAATTCATTGAGCGGTTGTGGGCAGATCCAATTCACTCACCGTTTTGATTTGTCTACTATCGTTTACTGCAAGTTGACCAGACGCGCGGTCAATTTGAGTGAAAAAAACCCTAGAATTAAATCAGCCAAACTAATTCTAACACGTTCATTCTGTAAAGCTATCAACATTTTTTGTGATTCAACAGTATCTTACCTTTAGTGCTACAAAAAGTTGCAATTCGAGGGAAGGCTTTCTTTTTGAATTCGGAGTTATGATTGGACGTATAATAAGTCCTGTAAGCCGATTTACGTAAAATAAACGTCTAAAGTAAACAAACATTTACACCTCTTGGTGAAATAGAATAAAATCACAATGATGGCTGAGATTATTAAAACACAGAAATGTCTTTTAATTCGGGGAGTTCATTCTTTCCTGGTCAGTAAATGATTATTACTTAGAGCCCATTGTTAATGTCTTTGGTTCACGTTATTGTTTCAAAAGAAGCAATCACACCATAAACCTTCGAAAAATCGGATAAAGTATACTTGCAGTCTCATAAACAACAGTAATATTTGCAGAAAATTCTAAGAAAAGCTAACAGCCTAATCATGACATAGTTTAAACTTTCTTAGTTGGACTATTATTTAAAACCCTAAGGTACCAATGCTAGTTGTGGTATTAGTGTAAGGTTCCAGCTGAAAACAGTTACTAATGTCACCGACTTATATGGCCATTAAGCAAGTGATGAACATGAGGGGTCTACGGAATCGCCATAAACGCTCCAAACAGCAGACGGGATAGAAAGCAAACTTAGGCTGAGGTGCGTATGGGTCGGTTCTTTTCGCTGTGAAGAGGACAAACTTATGTGCACTTACTCTCATGAACTTGGAAAAGTATGTGTGCTTTCTGGTTATTGAAGTAAAAGAAAAACCAATTTTAACTTGGTTTTACTAAGACTACTGTGAGCAGTTTATGGGAAGTGCGGCTGCCTTAACCAAGAGCGTGTCTACAATTTCAAGTAAACACTGCCCCCAGTGCTCACGTGACAACCGCACTCGAGACACTAGAAGTTTTGCAGAAATACGACAAATTCGTGTGATTGGCTAACCACCTGCTCTTCACTGGAGCACTCTCCTGTGCGCCAATGCGCGGGCTTGTCTACCACTGACGTGGGTTTCCATATTTAGCTCTCCTCACCAGTAGCCAGGGGCATCCAGTCCAGTATCACAGACCATGTTTTGAGACTTAAGTGTGCTTACTAAAACAAATCTTACTTCTAGACACGGAAACAGACCTTAAAAGATAAGACCGGTCTCTTGCGTGTGTTTTTGCCTGTATTATATAATTAGAAGTCTTGTCGTCTTTACTAAAAGCCTACCTTCGCAACAGTTTGCATTTCGTGACTTGTAAACAATAATCGCAACAACAATGTGTAAGACATCAGACCGTCTGAAATGAAATGGTTTTAGGTAATTGTAGTCAGGACTTATTTGAGCACTAGTTTCCCACTGCAGATCAGTGCCGATTACGATATGAATTTAACCTGTATTTTCATTTAAAATAAGCAATTTGGCCTCTTTGGTTTAAAGTTGCGAACGACCAGCACCAACCCTTCTTAAGTGGTTCTCCTATGGCTAATTTTTCTCAAATATTTGAATTTGCTTGGTGTGTCCACAAGCCTAAGTGGTTTTCCTATCTGCATGCTTGTGTTAAAAGTAGCAGTGAAGCTTGTTTAAATTATAGTCCTTTTGTAAGTTCCGTCAACACGCTATAAACAAGATAAGCAAATGAAACAACACTCAAATTACTTACATTTAACCACTTTATATTTTGATAAGGTGAACCGCACAACTATTCTCCAGTAAGAAATTAACTTAACTTATCCATATTAGTAAAATAATGCAACCTGACCGGATAAATGTTATTGTCGAAGATATTAAACTCCACAAAATGTGCCACGCATGTAGCTAATAGTTGCTGGTCTCATCACACTAGCAGTCCCAGAAACTAATTTGTCAAGGTGACTTCACGTAGCACTTAAATTTGATAACCTTTGGCTCGAGCTAAAGCAGTTACAGCTGTAACCGCTAGTGGCGGACTCCTCACCACATCGAGGCACTGTAAAACGGCTTTTTTTTCTGATTGGTTACGCTTGGCACTGGTGTTTCACAGGGAATAGGGACGACAGTATAGGCAATTGGTCATGGGCATTAACAGCCGTTAGAATTTTGCAAATGCTGCGCTTGATCACGGTTGTTTGGAACCACGATCACTGCCATTCACGGGGAAACTGGCCTCACGAATTGTTTAGAAAAGGACAAAATAATAATAACAACAATAATCAAATGTAGGCCAAACTTCATTGACCAATTGATGGATTGCGAAAGTGATATATAAGACTATTACACTATAAAGAGGCAGGAAGCTGGGTTGAGTAGTGCCTGTGGATGAAAGCTAGTAGTGGCCATGGTTTCGTGGAAGACCGAAGGGTTCACCTGTGTCACCTCGTGAGAATTAAGGTTTTTTCGTTCAATAAAGCTTACAGTAACTGCTAGACTTGGCCTCTGTATTGCTGATGGCATTATTTTCGGATTTAATAAATTTTCGTCTTACTTTTAAATGCTGACAGGAAGCAAACGGTGGAGTATAAAGCATTTCAATAGCAAATTTTTGCTTGTCAAGTAGGTAGAAAATCACATCTTGGAGTGTTGTCTTCGTCTACGCATTAGATCGAACTAATGTTTGTTTTTAAATAAACTGAAACACGAATAAAACCTTTGCTTAACTAGTCAGCCAAAAATGTAGGCCTAATTAGATAATATTTGAAAATATCTTAACTTACTTGCAGCATCTTAATTCCTTATCTCAAACACACTATGGCTTCAAAAATGTCAGAAAAAAAACAGGAAACAACTATTTTTCGGTCTCATTTTTTTCTGTCTTTTACAATAATTTGTTTTGAAAATTAGCCCATAAAAGTGCAACTGCTTAGCCTGATTTGGTATTTTAAATTTGTAACAAATACTAAGACACTAGATATTACTTATATATACTACATTAGTGAAATTCCTTTTTGTTGGCGAAGGTGTGGTTCCAGAATGCCCGGGCTCGTAAAAAGAAGACTGTTCGAAATCCTGATCTCCAACAGCAGCCCAACTCGCCGAGACAGGCGATGAATTGTAGTGGTGGTGGTAGCGGCAGTGGTATTGGTGCCAGACGTGGAGGTTTGGCTGGTGACTTCGTACCAAACGAGGCTCTGAATGACGCCACAGACCGCGTGATGGAGTCCGAGGCGGACATGTGGATACCTCAGTCCATTTCTCCTCAGCTGGCCGCAACTTTGGAAGTGCCTGAACCTAAGCCTTATTTTACCAAAGGTGGGATTCAGGAGAGCTGTTTATTCAGCTGGTAAAATCTTGAAGTCTTACTGTTGCGGCTTTCCATTTTAGAGACTTGTTTACAACTCAGAAAACTGGCAATGCTTCCATAAAATTCCGACAGAGACAGGTCCAATACGGTATCAAACCTTCTACCTCAGAACGATGTTTAATTTGTCCTTGGTTTGTTCCTTCGTCCTTGAGTTTCTTTACAATCACAAAGGATTTATACGGCTGCAGTAAAATACCATATAAGATATTTGTCTGCTAATACATTCAAAGTCACCTAGAATATGGAGCAAATTGATAGAATTTAAAGCAAAGATATCGAAAATGAATTGAATAACTTTGAAATGTCGTTTTCGAATTATTTCGTACTAAAGTACTGTGCTATCTCATTTTTCTGATCTTCATATTTCCGATACCAGAATAATCAATGTTACTCGGGTCCAGAAAGGCGATTTCATTTGCGTCATAACATGAATAGATTCAAGCTACATTTCACCTTTACGTTAAAACACACGTACATTTGGTGATCGAAAATTAAAAATCCATGGCAAGCGGCTTATGCCAGCTTGAAAGACCAAAGATATACCCCCTTAATGAGTAAGAAAGCCCTAAATTGAGCGATAATGATCCTTCTTAAAATAGATGTTCTGAAGTGTTCTGCTTGTTCGATCTTGCGGTTACTGTACTTTACCTAAGAAGAGAGTTCAACTCCAGTACCTTCTGCAGCAACTCTGAAACAGTCACCAACATTCACGTAAACGAAGCGTTGGCCTCCAAAGTTACTATGCATAAAACACTTAAATTATTTTTAGCCACATAAATTGATCACTCAGTCTCAACTAGATAAAAGCTAATGCTTGATCCAGACGCCGCGCTTAAAATTAAGTCCTACTTGTTAAACTAAGGAATAACAATTTGATGTGTTTCAAACCTTTATTTGTCATAATGATGTGAATGTAGACGTTCTCATTTATTACTCAAGATCCAGATGAGATAAAGTAACATGAAAGCTCTGCACATAGTCTACAGCGATTAAGGATCACTCCACCTTGGGTAAAATGTCAAATGGAATTAGAAATAGCTTGAATACTAGAATAAAAAATGTTCAAGGAAATGAGCTACAGTTGACAGCAAAAACGTCACCAATGGGTCGCACAAACGCGTGGGATTAAGGTGCTAATGTCTATTAACTGAGTGACCAGAGTTCAACGGTGTGAATGCAGAAGTCCCCACCAGGGATCAGCTGGGGACTGTCAAAGGTTTCGCAGGCCTGGCTTCGACCCCTGTGGAGGTCTCCATCTATCCACAATGCAGGACTTGCACTGAAAAATAACAGATTCGGGCGTTTACGGTGCACTATTTAGAAACCGCGTATTTTTGGGCACTGTCATTTCGCAAATTTTAAATGCGGTTTAAGAAAGCGAAATTGCCAGTCCACGTCAAATTGACTTGGGTGGGTTACCGTGATCCATTTCCGGATCGTGTTTGACTCCTAGTTTAAATGGGTTCCAAAATAATGACAGACGCATTCCGACAACGAAATCCTACTCGTAAAGTCTAGATCAAAAAGGCGCAGTATCATGAAGTGGCTAGCTCCTCTTATGTTTATAATGTCTGCAATGTTCCTATTAACGTCAGCATATTAAAGGGTACAAGGTTACGTTCTGTGATATGGGAATTTTGCAGGTAGCACTTACTTTGAGCATCCAATGATAAGTGCTTCAGGTTCACTTGATATGAAGAACGAGTTTTTTTGTGACCAGGAATATTTCTGAAAAATAACAAACCTTGAATCGGAAAATTCAAAAATAATTGTACAGGAAGAAAGGTTTACATTTCAATTGCACAATTTACAACTGAAATGCTTGTCTAAGGCGTTCTACACAAGACAGCGATAGCCCAAAACCCACGTGAAGTGTCAAAATTTGTCAACTCGGCTTTGAAGAGTCACTTTAAACGAAGTTCACTAAGTGATTTAAGACTAAGCCAATATTTGTAACACATTTACTGAAAAACCAAAATTTTCTCTGTAGCTGCGAGCAATCGGGTAAGCTGCCAGACACCAAAATAGACCGAAGAGACTTATTACATAACTAATGATATCGCCTGCATTGTGAACGTTATAAGAAAAGTGTAAGAATGCACAAAGTCTATTTACTCTGCCCAAAAATGAATATTCTTATCTCTGAAATAAAGAAAGACATTTTAAACTTTGAAACATTTATTTGGTTTCGTTGGTTTCTGTGAGGCGCCAAACTTAGGGCCTCCCGAAGACTACTCTGTTTTTTGACTGAAACCTACTGCTGATGTTGTAGTAAACGGAGATTACAGAGTTTTCTGCTTCAGAACCGCTATATTTTGTTAGTCGTCCCAAAAATCATTTGTTAATCAGTATTTGTAGTGCCACGAAATTCCATTGGCCAAATTCAAGTAATCACAAATCGAGCTCTGTTTGAGTGAAAGTAAAGTTAGTGCCCAATTTACATGAAATATTTGGCAACTGACTAAACATTGGACTAAATTAGACAATAAAGAAGGTCTGAGCATTGTGCAGAACGCCGACTAAGTACCTTAAAGTTTGGAATGTCAATTTTTGAAGCAGCGCCAGCATTTTCTTCTGTAAGTATTTCTTCTTCACATGGCGAAACATCGGGCATAGTCCAATGAAAGACAAAAGTTTCTCCAGTTCCATAAAATGCTCCCTGACTCAGATGTGGATGCGAACTCAGGTAAGCACCCATTATCTAAATTTGGAATTCAAATAAAAAAGACTTTAACAGCTTACAAATAATAAATTGAAAGATGCATGAAGAATGTATAAGCGTTACATAAAAGCACAAAATTACGGAGTGTTATCTTTTAAAATCGCAGTACTTTATCAGGCAGAAGGGCGTAAAAGTACTAAATAATCCAACAAGTTAGATTGCACAATTATAGTTTCTGTCAAAAATTGTGCGTAATCCAAGTAATCCATTCTTTAACCAGTTCTACAATTTCCAGTCAGCTTAGACCCCACTAGGGTTCGAAGCTAAATTCACGTCCAGTTTCAGAGATGCTTTAGTAGTTATAGAGCAGCAGCAAACAGATCCTGAATATCTTGGCGGAGATTTTCACCACCCAGTCATAGTATACACATTCAGCTATTCGTCGATCTGAAATCGCATGCAGTAACTAGCCTTGATTATTAATTTTTCAGTAAGGTTGCCCAAGCGGAAGGCCTTTATTACAACTCCAATCTTACTTAATAACCTCCAGAAAACAATGCTGAAAAAAATATTTTTCCGGCCCCTGTCAGTGTTAGCCTCTAGTATGGTTAATTAAATTATAAATTTTTGTCATTACTTTGTCAAAATCCTCATTTTTAGGATTTACATCTGTTTAATTCAAGTTGCACAAATTAAATACTATAGAATTTAAATTATTTTAATGCTTAAATGTTTTTAGCATCCTAAAAGCACAAATGGACTTTAATCAAGACTATAGCGAAATGCGCTGACTGAATCACGACAGCTTTTAGTCCTGAAAAAACCACTAAGTTGCATTAATGTGTGTGATTTGTGCACTTCAGTTTTCATGCGCATGAATTGCGTTTAACCAAAGTCTTTCATTGCTCATTAGTAGCTAAGCAAACAAACCCAACGGCACTGAAGCGTTGTCAGACAGGGTTTGCCTTACACCATGAGGTCAATAACCTGCTATCCCCCTAAACTTGAATTACCGATTAATGCGTTCATAAAATCAAACTGTTTTAAATTCAACCACCTTACACAATCAGTTGTGTCTCTGATGAGCAGTACGCACGGTTGATTTTCTTGGTTGAAAGAGAGAGATCGCATTTTCGATACCGCTGTTCTTTCTTCGAAGTCGCCAGCCGTTTGGGCAGCATCGGTGTCGAAGCTCGTCAGCAAATCACTACATTTGAAGTTGTCGCAGCGACGATAGAGCGTCTTTAAACTGAATCCGTGCTCCTCTGTGCTGAACGTCAAAAACCAATCAAATGACTGCACTCGCATTGGGATGGCCTCGAAAAGCTAAAAAGCATGGCTATACAATGTCACCCAGTTCTCTCTTAAAAAGCGACCATGGTATTTATTTGTAAAGTATTATGGCCCAAAAAGGTAATTTCGGCTACAGATTCATAAAGCAAAGATGGTAACGAGCGCAATCCAGTAGGTCAATAAAACGTTTATCTGAAAGCCGTTTGCATAGATCACGTCCGTCTACACATGTGATACAATACTTAAGCCTAAAGATGGCTTTTATTTGTGTGCCATTTGTCTTAAAAATCCAGATCAACTAAACAAGGATAAATGGTTTCGATCAAGTGGGGGTGCGACTGGTATCAGTGTGATGAGTTAGTTCGTTTTGATATCAATCAGCCTCCACTAAAACACTTGATGTTTTGTTTGGACAATGGTAAACGTTTACGTTTATTTGTACGCATTGTTTTTTCTCAAGCTATGTCGCACTACTTTTCTTCGACTAAGACTGTAACGAAACGAAAAATTCTAGAAAGGAATTTAGGTGTAAAATTAATAACAAATTCCAACACCAGCTCCAACTTTATAATTAGCAGCCACTATTAACAGTGCGTTTCCGCCACCTCCTTTTAATTAAGAAGTCTTCCACTTAGTAGCGATTTGTTTTATTTAAGCGATTTCCAATTGATTCGAACCAAATCTACAGCATGGTCCGACATTATTTAATGGTTTTAATTTTAAGTCAGCTGCACTCTTGGTCACACCTAAGATCCAGCACACCTGTTCGGTGCTGGTGTTAAACTTCATATACGAAACCGGAGAAAAGGACGTCTTAGGTAGAAATGAAGTCGTCATACATGTGAGGAGGATTATATCTCCCCAAATATCCCTGATTTGGATCATTTCAGTTTTCAGATTACTAATAAACATCTCAGAAAACCCACGAAACACGAAATACGTGCATTTGATTTGCCCATTTTGAAAAAAACAACTGGAATTATAAAGGTATTCACAATTTCCACTAAGTCGATAAGCTAATATTGTCATTGACTATAACTTTTAAACGTAAAAAATGTCTTGGTATAGGTTATTGAAGACGCATTTCTAAAATGGAACTCCATCTTACAACACAGCCACCAGTTATTGAGTCTTTTCAGACCTACGGAATTAATGACGTGGTTTTTCCTGTACGGTTAGGGTTTTGGTTAAATCAGATAGCGCACTTCCACGCAACAGGAATTTGACAAGCAAATAAACTAATACAGTCCTAGAGAATGTAGGAACAGAACAGGAGAGGTAAAAAATCAGCGCCTTTAATTCGCCAAAATTAATAATAGTTATTCTAAATCAGGTCTGTTTAACCTCATGTAGGACAAATTTTCGTGAGCTTGCTACAGCTGCTTGTAGTTTCTAAGACGCATTAAACAATCCATTGATCCATTCAGATAAAAACTTTTCTTACTCGACAAAACAAAGTCTGAAAATGGGTGTTTTGAAGACAGAATTTTTTTATTTTTTAAAATATAGTAGTCAGCATTTCCATGATGCTTTTAGCTAGTCTGAAGTTGTAGATATGCTCAAACGTATAATTAAATTTTCAATTCTGGTGATATGCGCAAAAAATCTATCGTGTACTAATCGTAACAATGTTTTCGAATCGCTTCTACATTTTCTTTAAAAAAACGCATATAGGAATTGGCGATTTTATAACTACAGGACTTAAGAAGATTTTGTATAATTATCAGGTTTTTCGAAACATTCTAAATAGAAGCGCTGTCGGTTTGGTAAAAAAATTATTTTGTGAAATTATTGGTTAATTTTGTGGCTTAGTAAATGCAAAAAGAGTTTATTTCATGAGGTTCTACCTTCATTGCTCACCCAAGTGAAAAATTTGGCGATTAAGGGGTAAAAGTGGACGTTTAATGGTTGAACAGTTTCTTCACGTGTCGAAGCGTGCTTGTGATGTGGACTGTAAATCCGACCAAAATTAAAATATTGAAATCGTTTCGTGAAAAACTTACATCCTGGATTTGGGCTTGACTACTGAGAATACGACTTTGAGCCAGAGAATTTGGAGGAGAAAGGTGAGGAAATTGCGTTGAATTTGTTGTCTCGCTGCGATCTGCTTCACTTTCGGTCTCACCTCCAGCATTTCTTTGAGATAACTCCTGTTTGCTCACAAGCTAAAGTGCAATTTAGGTAAATCACTTGAATTCAAAAGGATCATGGATGAACTCAAGCCAGTTCTTTGCCAGAGGCCTTCGTGAAGCTCCATACTTGACTAAGCCTACGATGAAGTCATTATGTGGTACACTTAGAATGGTTTATTTATGAGATCAGTACCCTTGGCTGTTTTACTACAAGTCATAACTCTGACAATGCTTCCTGTTCACCCGCAAGGGACACTTACACCTTTTCTTCTCGACCGAAGTATCATGGTTTCTGGCTAATATTTTCTGCACGCGTGAACGGGACTAAAACCAATTAGAATTGAGGTGGTTTATGGGTTAAATGCATCACTGACAAAATTGTAACAAAAATTTTATGATTTTAATTGTATCAACTAGATGGCCAATTTGGCGGAAGCTTTTCGACTCTGAAATTTTGGAACGAATTATTTTTTCGTGCTCAAACAAACCTGAAGTGGAGTAAATCGTGCTTCGACTCAAAATATGGCAACCAATATCTACTTTTTAGTGGTTTTCAGCTTTTGTGAGTGTAAATTCCTGATAAATTATGTACTGAGTATTATAACAAGTGACCATTATTCAGTAATAAATCTGCGTGAATGATTTGTACAGATAGAGAAGCAACGAAGTAATGGAAAACCCAAGACGCACTTCCCACTCAAGCGAAGTCTGCCGCAGCATATCAAACACTTCCTTCTCATCAGCAAACGAAGGTGTGCTGGAAGAGGACTGGCCAAATACAGCGCTCTCCGTCTCGTCCCCTGTGTTGTTCGAAGGGGAAACCATCTCGACGGCGGCATGATCAGAAAAGAGTTCCTCGCTGCACCCTACTGAGAGCGGCCTGCGCCGGCTACTTATGGTGCCAGACCCTGCGGTTTTGTGCTTCGTTGAAGAGGTTCTCTGAATTAACCGGCCCAAACTTCTACCAATGTAGCTGCGCTGACGAGCCTTGGTGGGATCTTGGTGCCGAAAGTGCTGGGTCATTCGACGAGGTATCAGAGCACCAAGAGCTTCCACAGCGTCCTTCTTCCTCAACCCCTCGCCGTCATTGTCAGATTCATCTTCCATAGATATAACGGTAGCAAATCCGAGATTACAACTGACCAGGAAGTCGTTGAGATCTTGGATTCTAGAAAATTTTAAGCCTTTTAATTCAAATAAGTTCAGGTGGTGATTTATGTGGCTCTTGCAATCATGATTAGCATCGCCAGCGACCTTCAAGTTCAATAACACACCTGATAAACCAAAATTTGGAATTAAGCCGTTATTTTAATTCCAACTTATGATTTGCATAGTAATCTGTGTGGTGATTCAGGTCAGTAAATTGATAGCTATTTTAATTTAAATATGACTTAAAAAATTAAAGTTTCGACAATTTGCAAAGTTTAACCTAAAAGTGGCTAAAAGTGGTAGTTTTAAAAGCACTATACAATGCAACAGGCGATTTACGTGTACTTCAAAAGAGTGGGGGTACAGTGAATTTCAGACTGGCTCAAAAGTGGTGTCCGCTTACAATAGTCAAGGTGAAATCAAAAAAAGTTAGATTAAATACTATAATTATTTGTCAAAATCACCAATGTAAATCAGTTAATGCGACATCTGATACTACAACGCAGTTAGCATAAAAACGCGCATTACTTCTGCATCAATCTGATAGCTGTGCTAGGTAAGAAATTGTACTCAACTGCAAATTGGTTAGTGAGTGCAGTAAATAAGCCAAATAAAGTCTTCTCTGAGGCATGATTTTATTGCAAACCACGACCAAACAGTGTCGGAAAGGCAGATATTGTAGAACAATTATTAATAAGTACTTTTAAAAGTACTAGATATTCAAAATTTGGTTCCAGTGAGGGGTACATTTATAAAATGAATTATGTGAGGTTAATCAGCTTAAAACAGTCATTCCGAGTGTTCAATCCATAACATTTTTTTTTCAAAAATTGACCAGAAAGAAAAGTCAGGTGATCCTTTCATTCCTTCGCAGAGTGTTCGTCACAGGCACAAATAAAGAAACTGAACAACCTGCAAAACTCATCAACACTGAAAAACAAATTGCCTCTTTTCAACCTAAACTTGCCTGAGTGCATTAAATAAATTTCTTTAGAGGACTTAGAAAACCAGACGCACAAGGTGATCTCCCAGTGGCAACAACTTGGTGACAAGTATGGAGAAAAAGGCCGATGGTCCAACTACAAAATGCGCAAATTTGTCACTTTATCTATAGGGGGTGCCACGCGTTTCATAATGTCAAAAATGACTATGAAGAGCCTTTCTGACTCCGTAACTGCCTTCTGTGATGAAAAATCATTGAGGACACGAAAGATTGGAGACTTTTATTTAGGCAAGATTTTATTGACAGTCACCAATGCACTACTGAAATTTCAAGCGACAGCTTCCAGTGTCAAGTGTACATTTCATACTGCTTGACTGGATTTGCGTCTGCAGTGCCTTTTTAAGTTTTGGTTCTACAACAGGAGATATGATGCAAGACATTAATGAAGAAAGGAAAACAAAATTCTAAATGTTTAGCGATAACGGATTACGTTGATGGCTGTAGCTCAACGTCCTGGAGCAATTATGATTCAGCAAGACGTTGGAAAGGCCAAGTGAGAAGGATGCCAATTGGTAAGGTCTCTGCATAGTTATGCAGGAGAGCCATTTCAGGCAGTAATTTGATACCAGCCAAACAAGATCAAACTACCGATTAAGATCGGTTTTTGCCCTTCAAATTTTTTGTGTCAGAAGGAACTAAAATAAAAGCTCAACAGTCAAAAAAAAACAGTCAAAAAACAGTAAATTTGCTAATCTGACATTGAGAATTGCGAATGAAAAATCGATTCAAAAGTAGCTTGGTAAATGGACCAAATAAACAGTCAGCTACCAAGGTAAAAGCGTTCTTTTGTTAATCTTGATAAGGCGAGCAGGCTTTTAAAGCAGAAGAGGCCGTTGAAGAGAGCTGTCAGACTGCCCAGTAGCAAAAGGATGCAGAATTAATCGGTTTGCTCAAAACAATGGGCTTTCTTGTGGCTGTGTAGAATCCATTGTCACACGTTTGGTTGTGAGAATTTTGAATGGCTGTCTGGTTTACTGACCACCGATTTACCAGTTTTTAAACAATGCGTTGATTGCTCCCAGACACCATAAATCCCTTTGTCCAAAGTCGTCAGTTGTCAGGGCTTCGTTTGAACGAATTTGTAATTATTATGCGCGTTTGAATGTTGATGTAGGCAGTGTGGGATATTTGTACAGCCGATTGACTTAAAACCATCTGAAATACCTTGTGAAAGGTTTTGGTGAGCACGAAAACAATGGACATGGAACTGAAAACTGGAAAACAGTTGATGAATGCAACGGTGTGCATGTGCTTCATCAAGTCACTACTTCAAACCAGCACTTCGAAATCAATAATTTGCATACTAGTTTGTTAAGTGGCCGACTTCTGACCTAAAGGGGAAGTTTCATCTTGCCGGCAACGATTATTCTTCCAGTTCTGTCCCTCCACTCACCCCATGCCTAAGCTAACCATCCAAGGTATCTTCGGGATAACAACAAGTGATCCAAGCTCCTTATTTGCCTCTTCTGCGTCACTAATGTAGTCCTTGGCTCAGTCGTGGAAGCGCAGGAGTGGAATCCTGTCCCAACAGGTTTCATTCAAGTTGACTGACTTCTGTTACTGTTCAGGTGCGCTCTGTAAGCACGCTCACGCACGCTTGCACAAGGACACCTCATGCTAAACGGGGGAATAAACGCTTGCTTCGAACTCGCCGCTTCGCCTTCTCATCACTTGCTTCGATCACAAACACCAGGATTGGGATGTAGCTACAGTTTTATGTTCCTAAATGACACTTGGCGTGGCAGAGCTTCAGATCCACAGCTTCAAATTTACATCAACTCGCCAATTCTCGGTTTGGCCACAAGCTGCTCACCTTGATGCGAGTTTTAGAACTCCACAATTTCTTTGGAGTTCCAAAACGCTTTTGTTTAAAAGTACAGAGGCCGGCTGTCAAAATAATTTACCGAGTGTTCACAGTGGGGTTTAGGACGTTTAAAAGCTTACTTGAACGTTTGATTTAATCCAAAATCATTTTTTCGCAAAAATATGATGGTTGGTTAAATTGGTACTATTTGTTTTTCTAAAACTTGTAAAACGCATACCTCTGGCGTGTAGCGTATAGGCAGGCTGACAAAAACCTGGGATTGAATCAAGGGCTATTCGTTTGTGATCCAATTTAGGACCTAGATTTTAACTGTTACCCCTTAAATTTTGTGCCTTATAGTGTAATAGCTTAAAGAGTGTTCGTTTAAGTTCTACCTTATACAAAATTAACGCATAACATAACAGCTTTTGTATCCGTAATGTCTAAATGCCCCCACGAAGCCATTCGTGTGGAACAAAAAGTAATTTTTCTGGACTGCCTCCAATACCATGCACTGCGTACCATGCAAAGTGTTTGCTATCTTAAAATGTACTAAAATAAATACAAAATTGACCATACCAGTAGACTGTGTAGGTTGCAAAGGGCCAGATTACATGCTGGAGGAAGAGGACGATGGTCTTCAGAGTTACCAATATGGAAAATATAGCTTTCATTCGAATGCACAATATCAATGACGAATTTAGTAAGTGGGCGCGGAAGGACATGAACAGTCGCAACTGCAATAATTGTCGAGACAGATCAATTTTGCAGGTTCAATAAATTAGACATCCTGAAGTGTCTATTTCTACTACTCAGTCCATTCAAATATCGATCTACTGAACTTTGCGGGTGTCTGCATATCTTCCAAATTAGGGGGGGCAGCTGACGATCACTGACCTTTGTCTGGATATGATTAGCCATTGAGCACCTGACGAGCAAATTGTTGAACCGACTGGAGAGCCTGGGGCTAGACTGTTACGCTGAACCGAACAACAAAGGAATATTTCGTTCTCCTGCAACAACGGTTCTAAGGTTTCTCCTCCTTAATATAAAAAATACAAAATTAAGGATGAAAATACGGACATACAGAATGGATGGGTGGATGCACCATTAAAAATAATCAAACCTAGACATCGGGTACGACTGCGTAGTTTAATAAGGTGTCACCACACAATGTGGAATTTAAATCAGTTTTTCAAATAAAAATTTGCCACAACACAAGGGCAAGAGAACAAATAAAAATTCAGTTTCACAGCCCTGTGCAATTGTGCTATTGTTGACCTGGCGGGGACAAAGTGTACTGAAGATGTCAAGTCAGGTTAATTTTAGAATCAAAACGAATTTTACACATAGTAAGCAAGAAGATCGGGATAACAAATGACACGAAATCTATAACAGAGTAAAAATTAATGAAAACAAAAGACATTTTGTGGAACGAAAACTTTTCGTGCTTTGAAATGACAAAATGACCCCACGTAGAGACTTTATGGTATATTTGGAAAATATATGTTGAAACTTAATTTGTGAAAGCGCCTCTTTTTTGTAACCCTGGGTTTCAAAAGTATTTTGGTCTTTACTCCAAAACTGCGCTTCCATGTATCCGAATACCCACAAAGATTTACTAGAGTTGAAGACTTATTGGCGTTTTTGTTAGAAAAATGATCATGTTAGTTATAATTGTGAGATTATTCAGAGGCTATATTCTGGTCTAGGTATTGTGATTTGAAACCTTATGAACATAAGCATGTGGTTGGAAGCTGTGGTGATCGGTTGTGTGAAAAATTGCTTTCTGCCCATGAATGCATTTCTGTCAAAGCCTCCTAACAACATTTATTTGCTAAGAACTTATGTTTTATAAAACATTCACTAGCTCTATCCCACATTTAAAAAGCCCTCTTGAATGATTTTGAAATAACTCTAGGTGCTACCAAATGAATCCAACAAAAGTATCATTTGGTTTAGTTAACTTAGTATTCCCTTGAGAAAATACCCATAAATCGAGCAAGTTTTATTATGTATAATTCATCACATTTTCTACACTGTCATCCAGTTTGGGTAGATATCTAACTACCCACAAGTAAAAAAATTAATTTCATAGTTTGGTGTACGTAACTTGATGGTTTAATAAATTGGATCATGTTTCAAAGAAAGTGCATACAGTATTGGCGTGACGCTAAGTATTAAAAGGACGTGACCGAATTGGATGCGCCACTAACCAAAGAGTAACAATAAACAAAGGTCTACCAACTCATTGCTAATGGAAGTGAGCATTGCCATGAACGAAATAGGTGGTTGAAATGCTTCAAGGTTGACAAAACCTCCCGATTTCTGAGCGGAAAATGGCCTTGCGCATTTTAGATTGGGAGGATGACTATTCAAAGCTACGCAGCTTTGCACGATGGGCAAGGAAATCAAGACCTCTCCGACATGTTACGAAGCAGACAGACAGACAGGTGGGTCCTTCTGCTGGGGATCCACGATTCCCCAAGATTGGTTTCTGATTCTATTTACATTAATTTATTAACATTTGTTGTGTTACGCTTTTATCAAATCAAGGTCAAACTTGACTTGAATTAAATTCGTTTTCACTTTCGATTTCACTTCTTCTCTGCACGTGGCTGACGTGAACACAGCTCTCTACACGAACTCTGGTCTTGTTCTTGTACTAGCGCGGGAAGATCGGTTCTAGCTTCAGCAAGGGATCTGGTACCGTTATTTGAGTGATCTTCCCTTTTGTTACGGGCAAACGTAACACCTTCTGAGAAGGAGATTGCTTACCAAGGTGTAGCCGCATCCTTTGCAGCAGTTGGCTAGTGATCAGTGTGTGCTACACCATGTACATAAAATCATATGAGAGAGAGAGAGTTACTGGGCAAAAATAAAACTGAAAACGCTTCAACACGGTGTGAAGATAAAAATCTTGCCCCGAGCCTACGAAATTTGGCATTCACGCAATTGCACATTTTAGGTTTTTTTTATAAATTAAATTATTACTTACATGTGGTCAGCGCAATCAATGTTTGCATTCTTATAATACTTTAAAGTTGTAATTTAACGCTAATTATTTTCGCAGGCTCATGCTTTCCAGAATACATTTTCAGCGGAAATTTGTCAAGTACAGGTGACTCACGTTTGTTAATATCTTCAAGAAACTAAGAACGCAGCTAGCTTTAATATCACACGTTCCAGTTAATAAGACCAATAGTTTGCGGCAAAGCACATCTGACATGGCGAGGATACTTAACATGGCTAAGGTCAAACAGTATCGCTTACGCACTGACACCCAAGAACGACTGCTTAGACTACTCACCCTTTAATGTAACTGTAGAAAAATGTGCTGTAGGCCTTTTCTAATGAAAGTTTTTAAAGTTTAAATAGGAGTCAAAACGTTGGGAGCTGTGAGGTTGTACTTCTGATCACCTGACTATGAATTTGTCTTCGATTAATGCAATTAAACTGGTCTAAATATAGGAATAGTGCAGGCTATTTTGACGCTTTTGATAAATAGATAATGTTAACTCGATATGTGTGCAACTTCATGCCATAAGTTTGCTTTTAATTATTATCTCAGTTGGTAATCGACATTTGCCACAATTAGCAGTTGATGCTATAGCAGTTATTTGCTGATATTCTGTGACAGCACTGCCTTCACTACTAATTTTGTCAAATAGACATGTCTCAGGAAATAAAATGTGATAACACCGACATTTAGATTAAAATGTGTAGGTTAACATTTTTGCATAACATTTAACTAGGAATGACTTTGTCCTAGTTTATCTTTCTTGTTAGTTTTGAGAAACAGAACATTCTTCGACAATGGTAACTGCAAAACGTAGCTAGACACCCAACCTTTTCAAGAACACAACCGAATAACTTGGCTGCTTTTAGTGCAAAGCTAATGCAATTACCGACTACCTACCTTGAATATCCCTAAAAAAAGTAGACAAAACGAAAACATTGACTTATGTAAATTGCGTGTAAAATGGTTTAAAATCGTCTGGCACATTAAACTGCCAAAACGTATCATAATCACTCCGTTATTGTTGCCTATTTATTACGTGTAGAATCGTTCTAAAGGGCCCGGTTCCTCGGCTTTTACTTTTCTAAGGGCCTTGATATTTAGTAGGCAACACGATTTGCATCAACGAACACACTTTTAGCTACATGGGGATATTTTTGAAACTGTTGCGAAATTTAATTTTAAGCCACGCTGAGCTGATTGTTCAAATTTTTAACATAAATAAGTTTTTTTAGAAAGGTAAAGTTTAAAAGGAGGGACAACAATGAGTAAAGTCTTGGAAAATTTAATTTAATTTTCTACCTTTCAGTTAATTGATTTCTCAGAATACACCCTGCATTCTCTTCCATGCACACTGAGGAAGCAGGATTAGCTTTAAAGGCCATGTATTCACGACAATATGAACAATTGCCACTGCTGTATAGAAATATCGCAGGAAAGACTAAAACTCACTAACCTTCTCCAACCGCCTGTTCTGTCGTTGATAAGTTGGATCTTGATGCTTCATCGGACGAAGAGCCTGTAAAACTGCTGCACTGTTTTGAAAATCTGAAACCAATAAATATTTTATGGCCGCAATTACTTCTTTTTAACTTAAGAATCCGGCAAGGGGTAGAAATTGCCCGCGAAATCTGTTTAAATGACATTAAAACGCTGTTGCACGCAATACTACACCCATTTTTTAATCGGTCCGAAAACATAAAGTCAGGGCCCTTGTGTTACGCTCGACGTGGGAGAAGGATGTTAATAAGGCTACACAAGACAGTTAAGAATAATCTCAAAATACCAAATGCCTATTCTACTACCGAAGCGGTGTGTTTGCGTGGATATCACTTGTTTTTAGTGCAAGTCATTTGAAAATTTATAAAAAAATTAACGGCTTTTAGACAAAAAAAACAACGTTTACTTTCTTCTCAGATCTGTATACTGTTAAGAGAATAACCTTTTAAAAAAGAAAAAAACTACAAAATCAATTCACAGCTATTTTTGAAAAATAAACAGCCTTTAGGACAGAATTTGAAGTAAAGGTAATTTCCCCATTTGGGTCATGATTTAAAAAAAAAACGTTGTATTATGGAAAATGCAAATTTTCAAAGTTTCGTAGTCGCAACGCCTGTCTGCTTCTGTCGACAGTGTTTCCGGTGGGCAGATAAACAAATTATTTTTTTAAGTAGAACCTAAACTAAACTACTTTAAGAGCCTGCAATACTTGGATTATCTAGACTGTTAAACTTTACCTTGGCCTCTTTGTAAAAACGAAAACTGAGGCATCATTATAGGCGGCAATAGAACGGATATGTTCGTAGCGCATTTCAATGGGAAGAAAGTTTTGCCACTCTCCGTCCGCAGGTAAAAACATGATAGTTTGCCTTGTAACCATCAGAGTTCCCTTGATGCATCTCTGAAAAAAACCAATAGCTGATTCAGTTTAATTTGCCATGTATTCACCTTTGAGGTCATTCTTTTTGGTCGCGTTATCTTGTGAGGAGGTCAAGAGCAAATACCATATTCACCCGCGTTATGGGTTTGCCTTCAGAATGATTACTCACTTAACCTACTTACACGATTTTGCAATAACAGACACATTGCTGCAGCTTAACCGATCTTTATTTTCTACGACTTTGATTATATTTTGCAAATATAAACAAGTTCTAACATGCAAAGGAAACATTTGCCGTGAAAAATAAAAACAAGTGGTTCTGCAGGGAATGAATTGCGGTGTCCATCGGTACGACTTTGGTTTCATGTACTTTTTTAATGTTTGGAATAACACTTCTACCTTACCTACTTACGCATAGGTTCTTTTGAAGATGGAAGTGTACGATGAGTTTTAGCATGGAGCAGAAAATGAGTATTTAGACATTTAGTGTACCATATTTCCATAAAACGTTGGAAAACTGCCAGGCCTTGTAAATAAATAAATGAAGCTGTCGTGGAGGTTTTCTAACAGAACGCACATAAGTGTACTGCGTTTACTAATTCCGCTATGAATATTTTTCAACAACGTCATGAAATTTACTG